ACAAATGAAAAGTTAATCAACCTGTTGGGACCTTGACGAAATATAAACAGGAAAACTAAAGGCCAAAAGGTCGGCTTTGGGCAACTGAGTGAATAGTACCCATTCTGGTACCATTCTAGGGTTCAATCCCTGCCATTCTGAACCAAAAGGAAGCCGTCATACCTTCACAAGCCATCCTAAATCCACTGCGTGCCCCACCCCCAAGCCATGCCTGCGGGAGCTGAGGTCCCCGGCCCCTTTGGCAAAAGAAGCGCCCAAAGGACCCGCCTGAACTCCAGGGATGTGTCACACATGGAATCCTGAGGTGCAACCAGTTGAAGAGGTCTTGTCGTTTCGAGAGCTGGTGTAACATTGACAAGAGTCCGGAGAGTGCACCTGTCCTGTTTTTCCAAGCGCTCCGCGGCGCAGAAGGCCTCCCATTTCGAATGAAAACACTTGTCGAAGAATTGTCCTTCAGACTTGCAATGGCCACGCCTGGCATCACACATGGCCACTGGTTGTGGCGGAGCTCCACCCGGGTCTTGAACGTATAGTACCCTCTTAATCAATGCATATATTGCGCAAGTGCATATGGTCATGATTTGTGTATGAAGCATGCAACAAGTTCCGCAAAAGACATGTCACGTGGCTTTTGAGGCTCTCAAAATAGTCAGTGCGTGAAGGCAGCGATCGCTTCCCCCTAATAATAATCGGAACTTTCCCAGGGCCATTTTGCCCTCTCAACTTTCCTGTCTTATTCTCTTTCTTTGAGCATGTTTCCTCGGGGAAGGCTCGGGATGGGGGTCGAGACCCTCGAAATCAATACGCCCCCCCCCACCCTATTAATAAAAATTGGCTCGGGGGGCAAACAATACTTAATAGGGTAATGGGGGCCGACCAGATTTCCTCGTCGGTCGCAACCTATTAATAGAGATCGCTTTTCCCAGACCCTCGGATCCCCAATGCTACTTTTAAACTGCGCCAATTGTAAACAAATACTAAACCTGCCAATTCGCGCCAATCCCACCCCCACGCATAATCGGGGGTGTTCCATCATATCTCCCTTCAGCAGTGAAGCACTTGCGACAGAGTATGTCTTCTAGCTGATTTCGCCATGCTCCCTACAACTCCACCAACAGTTGCTGATGCATAAAAACTACGTTACACACACACACACCCAAATGTACCACTCAACCAGCTCAAGCTCAGCCATGCACACGCCCCTTAACTCCCAACCCCATGGGCACAAACTGGGTCGTTCAAACCAATCCTCATCCGTAGTCCGAAGTGGGATGTGACTACGACATGGGGGAACCGCCCAATGGCACAATGATTCAGGATGAACTTTGAGCAACTCAGCTCCAACACGCGTCCCCAAGCTCACGCCTGCGGTTTCGATGTGCGGGCACATGGCTCACCTGACGTCATGGAGGGTGTTGCGCATGTGGTGTTGACGCGTCTGCTTCCAACATCGTAAACATGAATCACTGCTGGACCTGTGTCTATTTGATGCCCGAAGCCTCAGTGTTGCGTTGTTTGTTTGTGACTTTGGCCGAAGGAACCGTTTGCATTTGTCTCAAGGAAAATGGGACGCCAAGGTCCGACCTGCTGCTACAAAAGAGGCGTCGGGCCTCAAAGGAGCAGCTTCCCAGCCAAATCCTGCCTGAATTCGCGGCTTTGCTCTTGCCAAAGTACTTGGCAAGAGATCCCGTGGACGCCTCGCAGGGCCGAGAAGCCAATACGCCGCAAGTTTCGACTCTTGCCCTTGAAAAGTGGTGTGCACCCTCCACCTTGTGAGTTTTCAAGGGACACTATGAACCTCTTGCCATATTGGCAGGTACCCGATTTGCATTGTGTTTTGCCAAATAATGACCAACCGTCTCCTCGAGATGATTCATAAATCTCCTTCAAAATAATGAGCAATAACATCCCCTCCCCCAAAAAAGCAAAGAATGGAATCCAAATATCATTGAGCTTAACCAAAGGGAGATTCCAGACGACAGTCTTCGGAATAAAACAACACCCAAACTCAAATAGATTTACCCAAACTCAAATTGATTTACATAGTTTCAGTAGCTTCCCACAAAGGCCGGAGAACTTGAGGAAAAACCATTTAGGCCCCTGGCCCAGAAGAACACATGTTCAAACCACAATACTGAAAACAATGTGGACGACCGAGGCAAATACTACGTGCGGAAACAAACGGAAACTCAAATCCAGCAACTAAGACAAATGCGAATTCATCCAGCAATACGAAATCCAATGGAAACTCCAAAGACTACATCAAATCAAAATCCGATCCAAAAGTACTAAATCAAATAGAAGCTCAAATTCAGCATTACTACATCAAATGGAAATTCAAACCCAGCAATACACAATCAAATCCTCAGATCCAATCTCAAAAGCAAGATCCAGCAATACTAAATCAAATGGAAGCTCAAACTTGGCCCCGCAATACTACCCAATTCTAAATCAATTGTTTTGGGAGGGACCTTTTGTTCTGGAAGAATCCATTGTTGAGGGGGAGGGGGGGGTCCGATTCATCACAAATTGCATGAGCTCGGGGCGCCTCGAGTGAAACCATGTTCGTGAGGCTCAGCCCCAAAGCGGCGATCTGCAAGGGCTCGCTGCTCACCCAGCGCCGGAAGCAAGCCTCCCAACTCCCGACGCACCGAGCGAAGCGAAGCGATTGTTCGGTGGTGCTGATCACAGCCAGCCACCAACTTCCTTCTGGCGGGAACAGGGGAGTGTGAAAAACTGGACTGGCTGGGAACATTGGGGTAAAACCAGGCGGCCGACCAACCACACAGCCTAATGTCCTCTTTACAGCACAAGCCTTTAACAAAAGTCATTCCCGTTTGCCCTGCAAAGAAGGGCAGTAAGAGCACTTTGAGACGCGCCTAAGTTGCAAGCAGTATACGACCAGACTCTTACACCATAGGCAGGTGTACCGATGAAAAAAGTGCGAGCCATCCTAAAGGGAAGCTTCCTGAATGAAAGACCAGTTTACTACCACACAGCCAGTCCGGTCCCATGTGGCAAGGACAGTATCCTCTCTGAACTATCCGGAGCTCGGAGCGCGCGCAGCCCAAAAAGCTGCAAAGAAAGCGTTTTGTTTTTTACCCCTACCAACTACTCACGGCTCTTGCACAGAATCATGATAGGTATGGCAGAATGATCGGTGCAAACGAACACAACGGGCCTTCGGGTCGGTGACCCCAAGCGCCCGACGCGACGCGACGCCCGCCTTCGCCGCCCCGTGGATCTGCTCCAAGGTGCCATCTCGGCCCAGGTCGATGGGCTGCTGCCGCGCCGAGCTGTCCAGGCCCTTGGACTGGCCCTGAGCAGAAAAAAAATCCAGACCGACCTGGATCATACAAGACTTGGGGACGTGTATTTACGTATGATGTGTACCTGGTGTTTATGCTTGTTTTGTGTAGGACGAGAATGGTAAAGGCGATGTGCAAGCTGCCGAAAATGGGGGACTCGAAAAAAAAAAAAATCTTCTTCAGCTTACTGAGACTGAATCCGCTTGAAAGAGCCTCCTACCGCTTGGACAAGTCGCTTACCAGGGCTACCACTATTCAGCGTCAGGCACGTGACTTCGAAGAACAAGAGCGCGCGCGCGCCTTGCGGCCAGCGTCTACCGTCAGCTGCACTCCGATAGTCGTGGGCGCCCGCTGGTGCTTCTCAACCTGAGGGAAGCGAAGGAGAGTTATTGGAAATCAGTGGGCACAACTGAAACCATTGAACAGAAACAAAATGACACCGTGGAACTCGCCAGGCAGATCGCTCGGAAAGCAACATAAAGGCACTGAACTGGAGAAGGCGCACAATAGCACACATAAGATATGACGCTGTGCTACTTGGACATGTCAGTCACACATGGTCCGCCCCAATAGCCATTGCTATGAATGGCCAACACATGACATTATGTGACATGGACATGGCATGTCACGCCTTCAAAACTCTCAAAACATCATACATTGGAAGCCTGTCGGGACCATCTCAGCCTGGCAGCCTGATTCAAGCGAACTCAAGCGTTTCTTCCACTAAGAAAGGGCAGTGCAAAGTCTTGCCGCAATAGTCAACTCACTAGTCTTCCATCGCCCCCAACTTCAACTCTGAAAGCGCATGTTCGCACCTGACATGCCCTCCTCACACGTGCAGGTTCCCTTTCCTCACGCGTTGGAAGGATATTCGATTCCAGGAGGCTATGGTTTACTAGTGGTTTGCTCAATAAGCAAACAACTAGTAGAACATGCTGAGTCGAGTAGTTGGTTGGCAAAACCTTGCGCAATTTTCAGACACTATTTTGTTGAGCTTTCCTCATGGGTCCAGCTGGGGTGCAAAATTGGAGGCTGAACCACCCGGTCGGCTTCCAGCTGGTTCCTGTGCCCAACACAAAGACATGACACTCCGGACTTGAGCTGTTCTCAAATAGACTGTTGGCTATCTAACCTATGGCTTGCAATGTGTGTCTTCAAGGACTAAATTTCAAGTGGACCGCAAGCACACGAGCATTTGTTGTACCTCGCCAAAACACAACCTGCCAAGAAAGTAGGAAACATTCCGTCCCCACGCAACTGGGCCAATCAGTGGCGCCGCCTTAATCGAAGGTGACAGAAGTACAAATCCGGGAAGAATTGGGTACCTGTTGTTGGTAGTTGAACTCCAATGCCCTCCCAAAACTCCAGTCCAGCATGGGAAACAGTGGGCACCTTCCTGTTTCGGATGTTGAAAAGGTACTTCCTCCACAAAAAGTACACCACAGACTAGAGGTCCAGCCAGTTCCCCACTCGACTTCTCCGGCCTGCTCCTTGTAGCGGCGGTGAAGCTCTCCGGCAAGCTCCCCGAGCCAATACTCCACCTGACTCGCTTTTGGACCGGCTTCCGTCGAAGAGATTATCCAACGCGTGGCGCTTTGGAGAGCGTGCCCAGGACTACGGGCAGCGGTCGGTCCAAAGGCCGCTCCGCGATTTGAACAAGTCCCACATTCCCGATCAAGTCTCATCACCTTTTGGAACACGCAAGCTCTGGTTCGTGCGACTATTGGCAGGAATAATGTCAAGCCGGCTGAGCTCCCCGTGAATAGTCAGCGCTCCAAGATGCTATAAGTGCAAAGTATCATTCTGCGGCTGCCTCGAATTTCCAACGTCAATCGCTTCGGCATGCAGCGAAGCTGTGTGCGTTCTTGCTTGCAGCACAGCTGGCAAAGGCACGGCCACGAAGAGGTTCCAGGCCAGGTGGCCGTAGCAGGACGAAAGGTGGGCAACAAACGCGGTGCGTGAGCATCAACCCCATCAGGAATGCCATGCAAATTTTAACAGAACCACTAAACCTCCTGGGCGATGCACGCGCGGCATTCTGGTTGTCTGCTTGTTGTAATTTCAGTTCTCTGCCTTGAAGTCTGTCGGCCGCGTGTGTGGATGTGCCGCGTTTCCAACACCCGGCCCCCCCTCTGCGCCTCTGACACGGACCTGAGCTGCTTGCCGCCGAAGAAGGTCTTGCCACCAGAGAGGCTTTTCACCAGCTGGCGGTCCTGCAAACCATGGAGATACTTCCACTGAAGAAGCCTGCGAGAATGCAGGCATATGCCCCAACCGGCATTCCGCCAGGGACTTCATTGACAGAGTCTTGACCAGAATCAGAAGGGAGTCTACACTTTGATCTTTCAGAAGCTCTTACACCGTGTTCGCGAGTGTGTTTGGCTGCATGTGCCAGGGCAATGCTGCATGATATTTGTCAGGATCTGTCTTGCCCATGTTCGCCGGGGGAGGTCATGTCTCTCGAAACGACTCTTGCCACTTCGAGGATTGAAATCTGCTCTCGCCTGGCAGCAATCCATGCCAAGGCTTGCCCGCGTGAACCCCATGACCTGTGATCACCACCGGAGCGGGCAATCAGACACCTGGTGCTCTCAGATTAAATGCGTCGCGCTACAAAGCGCCAATTGGACCGAGTCCTGAATATGACCCCTTGAACAATCACCCCACCCAAAGGCGCTCATTTTGAAATGACTTCCAAGAGCCCAAATGGCACCTATGCTGCCTTTTCTGAATCCGCTAAATTTCAAAATCAGTGGCCTCTCAAACGATCGCTCCAGCTCCTTGACCGGCTCTGCGGCTGAGTCCTCCCCGCGTGCTAACGCGATCAGCCACGCGCCTGTCAGCGCTTCTGCTGAATAGCGCCCTCACGTGCGCAGTTCTCGAAGGTCCGCTCATTGTGCAAGCTTTACCACCCCCCAGAACATGAAATTATGAACCTCTTAAACTCAATGTTATGTCACCAATCGAAGGTAATGTCATGCAATATAATCCAATGCAATGTAATGTGCTGTTGCGTGGTATCCGGGTGGTGTCATAACGAACTGTTCATGTCCCGGTGGTGTTTCCCCGGGTGTCCCCAGTGGTGTCCCGGAGGTAATATTCCAGTGGTGTCTCAAAGAACTGTGTTCTTGATGTTCTTTGCAGTTGAACGAGCTTGTCTGAGAGGCTGCAGCTTCCGCGGAACGAAACTGCAGTGTTGAGGTTGTCAAAGAACGGCGGGAATTGCGGTGCAGCTGCTAGTGCCGATTGCTAGTGGGATCTGTCGCTGGGTATCGTTTTCCATTGCCCTTCCAGCTGACATCACAACCATGTCAAGTGCCCATATCTGTTAGCCCATTGACCAAGCCCCCGGTGACAGCAAGCCGTCGCCTTTGTGTGGGAACTGAGTCAACACCTCTGTCTGCTTCTCCAGCAACTGGCCACAGGTTTCCACCCCAACACCTCAGGAACTGAGTGCAGCCCGTCAACTGGGGTGAATTGAGCATTCACACATCAAAATCAAATAGCAATTGCTTGCTGCATCGCTGAAACACCGCCACTTCACATGTACCAATGAAGCCTTCAGTACAGTGACAAGCTGGGCATGCGTGTTGGTACTGCAGTTACCATTATTTAAAAAAATGGTGGTTGATCTAAATTCCTTTGTCTCGAAACGGCCATTCTTCGCGAATATAAAAATTACTTTCGCGAATCTTTCGCGGATTCATCGCCGTGCTCTTTTCATTTCTCGAGTCGGAGAATCGCAGCTTTTAAGTGCCAGCGTTGTAAGCGAAATGACGATTTCCCAACTCCAGCTGTAAAGTCGCAACTTTTCATCACAGGGGCAGTACATGACATGCGCCGGCTGGAAAGTCGCAGCTTTTCGTTCGCCGTGCAGCTCCAGCTTGAAGTTGCAGATTTCCAGTACCAAGCTAGTATACTGACTAGATCGGCGCTCAGACTATACCTCCCCTTGCAATCGAAGCCTGCGCTTTCGCGCGGGCTTTCGCGGATCTTTCGCGGATCTTTCGCGAAAAAATCACCCACGTTTCAGAGCGGAAAGCCACCGACTAACACCCACAGACACACATACACAGGCTTGGAGCACTAACCAGCCAAGCAGGGTATCAAACTGTAGCCTCACCAGGCTTAATCAGCGCAACATCAACAAAGTGTTTTAATCAGAATAGAAGGAAGGCTCAGCAGAAAAGATGAATGGTTCCACATATCATTGATTCACCAGGTACAGTTACGCAAAACTTTCGCGAGAAAAAAAGTTACTTTCGCAACTCCATCGCGAATCTTTCGCGGAGCTACCTCAACCAACACCGATGGTCACCGAATACTAAACTCCTTACAAGGACCTTTAGAACGACTCCCATATATATATATATGTAATCAACGGGCAGGGACACTGCAGAAAGAAGCCCTATACTGCTGCAGTTAAAATGGGGGGTGGGGCAGGGGTGGATCCCTAATCCTAATCCAAATCCGTATTGGGTACGGGAAGAGGAGCCGTCACCATTAAATATGAAAAGGCTTAAGCATTGATATTGAACAATCCAGTAACATAATATTTGTCGCTTGGTGGGGATGAGATGGGAACCGCCCTTTGCAGCTGAGGCGCCAGTTTTCACCTCCTGGCCGAACATTGCGCCCAAGCCAGGCAGGCGATCCAAAGGCAGGTCCTGGCTGATGCGGGAAGGACAAATTGGGGCTGGTTCAATGATGCTGCGAGATGCTAGAGTGTCATAATCATGCAAATAATGAGTCCTGCTCCATTAAGTCAACTCGCGCAACCCAAGGTGTAGAATGCAAACTATGCGAGTGATGCGTTTTGATTGGATGGGCGCAATTTGTTTGAGCCTGCATCAGTAACTGCCTGCAGTTTACGGATGTTCCGCTCTTGGTTGCTGCATTGCTCCAAAAATGGACAAAGTCAAACTTTACGTTCGGTTGTTTTGCCCAACACGCTTTGCGAGAAAATGGCCCCCAAAATTCGCTTCGGCCCTCAGGACCGGGAAGCGACCAGATCCCTCTTTAGATCATAGGGATCTTCCCAAATGTCTGCGGGGCTTTGCTGACCCTGTCAGAGCGGCCTCAAGCTACACCGACTCTCCGGCTGCTTCAAGCTGTTCCAGCTTCTCCCCTTGCTCTTGGACTACGGCTCTAGTTCCGCGTAACATGCGCTCACCATGCATTTTGGAAAACAGCTCACGCATTTCGGCGCCGACTCATTCACTCAGAAAACACAGCACTTCAAGGCAACGCAAAACACCGAGCTGCAAAGTCAACCAAAAGAATCCGGCTGATACTGGCCTAGGTGGGCAGCGCGCAGCGTTTACAACAAGGTTCTTCAAAAACCTCCGGACAGCTCCCCAATCTCTAAGAGAGCATGCGGGAAACTTAGTTTGGCCAAACAGTTACTGAACATCCTCACAATAGGGAGCATCGCAGCATCAAAGCTGGATCACCGGCCGAGCTGCTGCCAAAAGGACCGGCGCCGCGTGGGGCAGCAAAAGCGTCTGCTGGTTGGGCTTGTGCAGCCCGCACCCCAACCTGGCGCGGGGACTGGCAACGCAAATTCATCTTCTTCCCAGTTTCAATCCTTCCCAACCACTGTTTTCCCCCATGGAAGCCTGGCAAGGGGTGAAGGAAAGCAAAGCATGGGCGGCTCGGGCCCTCAGAATGAGATAGTGGCTGCCAAGGGCGAGAAGTCAACATGGCATTGCGTTTCACGCGCAGAGATAGTTGCAAGGCTTATATTGGAAGTGCCAAGGTTCGGTGTTTGGAACGCAACACTCGAATCCAATTCGGAAACCGACATGTTTGGCGGTCGAGTGGCCGCGCTTCTGTTCATTAATGCGCATTTGGCGCGCAGCGACTCCTTCAGCAAAACAGCCTTTGCAATCAGTTCCAACAACCAACTCCGGCGTGCCCCAAGCAACACGCAACAGCACAGTACATGCATACCTGCGCAGCTCAACCTCACATATGCCATCTGCATCCTCATGCCGAGAGCACCAGCTGTTCGAGCGAATCCAGTAGGCAATAACCAGTGGTGATGGAGTGAGGCCCGCGAAACAAGACCAATGACCAGTTCGGCACACAAGAGAGAAACACCCATGTGTAAAACCTCGCAGTCTCCCCCGCTGCACGACTGCACGCTCGCCAGTCCCCCCACTTTGCGAGGATCTTGTTGGTGGCGATTCCCCCAGAGCAGGTGAAGCCAAGCTTCTCTTCCACCTGGCGAGGAACGGCGAACTATGGCCATCTGCCCGGACTGACCCCATTGTGGCAGCTACTCTGAAAATCAATGTGGAAAACATGTTCAGAAAAATATCCTGTTGAAATACCCCCTGCTTAGGTTCCAAGTCAATTTGCAGGGAAGTGGTCCCATGTATTGGCAATTGGTCAGCCTTGGCGCTGGAAATCGCTCTTTTGCAGCACGGATTTGCCACACTGCCCCCCAAGGCCGTATCCATGCTTGCCTCTCAAAGGGTTATGATCCTGCGGCAAGTGTGAAGCCAGTCCTGCGTGTCTCCCTCTTGTTCACCCTGCCAGGCTTGTTTGACAGCTGGCTTGCTTGACCATCTTGACCCATATAATTACTCAGCAAGGTGCACAACATGCTGCAAGACTGACAACGGGGTGTTTGAGTGTTCGCTCTGGGGCTTTCCGAAGGCAAAGCCCAGCTGTCATACTACCATGTCGCTCGACAAACGGAGGCAAATTCTACCATGCTGTGTTCCTCCCTGAGTGTCACACATCCGTTCGGCAACATACCTTTGGGTCATATTTGATGAAATATTATGCATCAGCACCAGGACCATCGTAGTATCTTCACAACAGCTTCAAGACATTCAGTGTTGGACAATCTTGAACAACTTTCCCAGACATGCGTAAAGTCTGGCTTGCATTGTCAGGAAGCCAAGGAATCTGATGCTACAATGCTATATTTGTTCCGTAAGGCACTTCATTTTGGAAGCCTTCCGAACCAGAACAACAACCCCCATTGCACCACAGCTCGGCTTGCCAAACATTGCAGGAATAGCCCAAATGATCATTCCGGCATCTTGAAGCGAACCGTGTTCAATACTCAGGTGCGGAGCCCTGGAAAATGCCGGCCCGGGCCTCCGCCCGTAGCTCGGCCACCACCACGGCGCCAGCGATGAGGCGCTGGCCCACCAGGTCGGCCCTCTGCAACACATCCTCTCCGAGAGGAATCCTGCTTCTTTTCAGTGCTCGATTCAATTTGGGTATGATCCTTTTTGAACAGGTCACTTAGTCCTACATCAAATATGCTGGAAAGGTTTCCCCTCAAACGTTCCGCCCAAAGTCTGAGTTTTGACCTGTGGCGTGGTCAATACGTTGTATGTCATGGACATCCTTTGTAGGAATTATCGTGGTTCTGCACGGAACCAGCCAGAATCGGCAAGATGGGTAATTCGTGTCACCCATGAAGCAGGTTCCATGCCTGACATGTGACTCCCGCTTGGGAACTGCGTTACTGCCTGCAAGTAAATTGATTGCTTGTTTGTTGGGACTTTGCAAAATGAAAATATAGCAATGCTAACACAAGGATGACCCCAAAAAGCCCTTTCTTGGTACTTCGCTGATGACACGATTGCCTGATCAAGCCATAGGGAGCACACCAACACCTCCCAGACCCAACACGGCGACGCTCCTCCCAGCCCTCGGCCAGCTCCGAGCCCTGCCTCGCGGGGCGCAAGGATTGGCGTGTGACATGTGCGACAAACGGTCTGGCACTGGGGGTTCCTTTCCTGGTGACATAGTGACATGGTGACATGGGGACTTTATAGTTCACCAACCAGAAGTTCGACTCAGGGTGACATGGTGCAATTCGCCTCATGGTGATAATCGAATTGTTTTATCCTGAAATTCGGGACCTCCCAGGAGCCTGCATCATTGGTGACATCATTGTAACACACGGTCGCTATTCTTTGCCCGGAAACTGTCTGCGAATCCGCGGGAAACACCAGGATCGGAAAGGGCAATCTTAGTAATCTTATAGGCTTTTTTGGACCCCTTCGAAAGCAGTCTCCCAGGGTTCCTGAAAATGCGTCAAAGGCTGGAGTTGAAGGAGTAAGCCAAGGTATCGGACTGTTGAAAGCTACGTTCGGCACCTAGGAACTCAGGAAAATTACAACTCAACGGGGTCTACCATGTTGACACAAAAGTATCCGTCAAAAGTGCAGGAATGCTAGACTGCCTGTAATAATTGCTGGCAAAGGGTTGTCAAATAATTTTCAGCAAGGAGCATCCTACGGCACCCAGGTGCCTGCCGACGTGGGCAGTTCACATCTGGAATTTGGGCCAAGATGGGGCAAGCAAAGCCGACATCATGGCACATCTTCTGATTGGGGAGGCACAAAGCGAGAAGATCTCTTTAGGTCACGGAATGCGGCATGAAAAGAACTGACTTACAGGTTCCAACGTGCCCTGCTTGACTTGGAAGAGATTATTTTGCTTCTGAACAGCAAGCAACTGGAGCAGCCCCAAAACAAATGATCAGGCCGAATCAGGCCAAACAAATGCCGCCAGCACCGAAAACGAGAAAACACGATTGAGTGACGATTCGCCCTTCTCGTGGCTTTCGTCGCAGGCCGCCCTCAGCGGAAAGCGCCTGGCTTGCTGCTGGTCGTGGCCCTGGCGCGCCGCGTTGCGCGTGACTGCGGCGGCGGCGCGGCTCAGCGCGGAGTCGGCCAGGTGGGTGGCCTGACAGTCCCTCGGACCCAGAGGTCTGCTGTGCCACCCAAAGGAACCTCACGCAAAATGCAAAACGGTGACGTTAAAGCCAGACAACGGGAAGTATAGGGACTGCTGTAGGAAGCTCCTAGGGAGCTCGTAAGTACCAGCTTTTCTATAAACATGGAAGTGCACCGCAGGAAGTCGAAAACTGATATCATGCTGAAACGGTGTCCTGTCCACGTCCATGTTCGTTGGCTGCCTCCTCTTTGAACGGGGGTGCTTGAAAAATGCCTCCAAAAGCCATAGGGTACTCTCCCCAATGAGGTGAACAAACGGGACATGCTGGGCGGGCATCAGGAAACGAGATATTTGTTGGCGCCGCTTGGGCCCCAAAAGGCTTGCTACGTCCTGTCTCGTATACGCCAACTTTGTTGCTTAGACATGTTTGATCATATTTCAAGAACCTTTCCTTCAACAACCTCCTTTAGCTTTGCCCTGCCCAACCTCTTTTCAAGAGGCAACACCCTCGAGCTGGACAGAAATCCCCATAATGACGTCCACCAAGCCGGCCACCACTTAACCGTCCAAGGGCTCCAACGGCCCCAACTCCCCGCCTGCTGCGCCTGCTGCTTCAGCCCTTCGAAGCCTCGGAGCTCCAAGAGTCGCTGGGCCTCTGTGGTGATGTCAATGGCCACCTCGACGGGCCGACAGAACCATCTTGGATCTTGGGTCATGTTCATTGAGTCATTGACTGACTAAAAATGACCTGATTGATGTGGGTTCGTATTATTATGTTCATTGGGGGGGAACTTGGTGGACATAATTTAAAATTCGGAATTCTGTCCACAGAGCATTGTTGAGAGTGTGACTCTCCCCCAATTTCAAGCTAACAGTTGCCAAGAATCACAGCTCCTTCGGGGGGGACCCCATACAAACGCCGTTTTGGGCAACCAAAACTGATGGGCAACGCCTGCACCAATTTTAGGTGGTGTATCCCAGAATTCCTCCATCTCAACAGGTGCCACAGTAGTGGATCGGTCCATCCAGCGGAGCGAAACAAAGGGCCTTTCTATAGGACCAGGGCGAACAACCAAAACAACCAAAAAAAACAACCAAAAATAGAAACCCCTCTATTATTTCAAACCAAATCCACCAAAAAGGACACCTCTGACCCCTTTTGCCTGTCGCCTGCCTCGTCCACCGAGCGCTTCTCTGTGGCGTCGCAGCGCTGCGCCAGCAGCTGCACCACGGCGTCCCCCGCTTCCTGCCGGGTCCGGCGGTCTTTGAGGGTGCCCTGTTTACATTGGTTTAAAACGAAACCAAAGGGACCCCACATTCCCAGAAAGGAAACAAAAGGCCCAGCCCCAGAGCCATGGACGCTTTAGAGTCTATTCAGCCACGAACCCTCAGAAAACAACATTCTAAAGAATCTAGAAGGTGGTTGCAAAATAGACGCTAAGTGTCGGAAAGGCTCTTGGAAGTAGAAAAGTCTGGGGGTGCGTCAGGATGAACGTAGATGGCACAATTTCTGTTCAGGCGCTGAGGAGGATGAAAAAATCAGAGCCGGGGAACTGCGCCGTCCACGTTCATCCAACTGCGACCTTAGCCTTGTGTTTAAACCACTGAATGACACTTGTGGCATTGTGCACTCTGGTCCATATTTGGTGAGCCTCATAATTTCAAACATCAAACAAGGTTGCAGGCAAAGGATTTGAATTACCAGTCAGGCTCACAGCTTCAAATAAGCATTGTCTTGAACTTCCTCCCCCGTTTCGTTGATCACACCGGCATATGTGCAGAAGGCACCACAAACAAATATATCCCCTCCCTCGGGATGATACCTAACTTGCAAACTGTTTCCTAAGTGCTCAATTCGGAGCAAACCGCATGTGCAAGAAAGCAAGCCGTGCGGCCTGCATCAACCCTGGCGTTTGAATCCCAATTACACTCCGTGCGCATCTCCATTCTGATGCCAGACATGTTCCACATGTGTCTGAATTTGTCAGTGCCCAACTTCAATCTCATGCCCTGCAAGTGGCTCGCTCGGATCCGTTTCTGACACGCGATAGCACAGTGGCAAACATTGTGCCAGGCGCAAAAAGGCCACTCACATCACTGTAGCCAATACTATCAGGAGAATAGAATAGATTCTACTGTAATCCCGCTTAGCACTGCGCAGTGGACAAGTTCCGTGGCTTGTGGCGGCAAGTGGCTGCAAAGGGTTACTTCCACCGATTCAGCACCTTGGGCTCCGTAGAGCCCAGCAGTGCCGGCACGGGTAGATACAGTTGCGCTTGGCTCAGCGCGCTGATCAAGAGCTCGTAGGTGATGGCATCTGCGCGGCCCTGAGGGGCCGAAGGCAAATTGCAAATGGCAAACTCCGGAAGCAAATGGCTGGGTGAGTGGGGGATGTTGAGGGGGCCAGCCTGCTACACAGGCAAGTTCATTCCTTACCTGAGGCATAAACCTACTGTGTCTGAACTGACATGAAGCAAGCTCTCCTGTGAAACACGCTGGCTGCATGACAGCCTTTCAACATTCAACGCGGATGCTGTCCAAAGCTCGCGAGGACCAAGGATTGGGATGCTTTGGGAATAGAGGCATGATGCACTTTCAAACGCTCATTCGAAGGAAAGCTGCAGGAACACGACGCACTGTCTAGGCAACCAGGTTTCAATGGCTTGGACTGTTAGGCGCTATACATCTGAAGATTCGAGTCGGCCTGCAACAAGATCAAAGATTGTTCACTAACCCAAAACTATGACATTGACACAAAGCAAAACTAATATGGCCTTCGGAGAGTCTGAGAGTACCGTCGCTTCCATATCAGAGCTAAGTCGTCCTCTGAAGGGACATACACCAAAAACTGGAATCACTGGCAGAGACAAGCGTGTGCAGTCAAGAGCAAGGCCCTAAATACCACTTGCTGCACCCTCACGGCTCTAAGCCACCAAGCCTCATCTAGCATTTCCCAGAGCAGCAGCACTTGCTCCCACTTCAAGGCGCGCACGTTCGCACAAATGGCGCTGTTGTAGGTCAGAATCTGGGCAGAGTGGGGCACTGAAGCTGTAGAGTAAGTGGAGTCTCCCTGACCCTTCAAAAACCTGGCCATGACGCCCTTTTTTGGGTAGACTTGGAGTGCAAGCTGAAGCTTGTTCCCTGCTGTCCAGGCAACGGACAATGGCCCACCAACCTAGAAGATTAGATGAGTGCTTTCGGCCTCCGCCATGATATCCCGGAAAGAATAAAGCATCATCTCTTAAAGGACTAGGACCTGGTTCTGAAGAAGTCACTTCTTCGCTTACAAGGCCTCTGCCTAGGATTTCCTTGAGGGGCTTTCGGGGCAGCCACAGCTCTTGCGCCCAGCAACGTTGGGCTGGAGATCATTCTTCTTCGCCTGACACAGCAAATGGATGCAGAGGCTCCACCGGGATGCCTTTTCACAGCTGCAAATGGCGGCACTGAAGGTGATAACATCCGCCATGTCTGCTGCTTCCTGGCAATGCTTCATCGTGATACACATGGCTCAACTCCGGTCGGTGTGCATATTGGTCTTCATTGACTGTCTTAGACATAAACCCAACCGAATGTGCTGAATGCTCATGCCATCGCTATCAAAGTAAACTCCGATAAGGAAAGGCGTTCGTTTGGATGCATCGGACAGTTTTTCAGAAACTCCCAATGACCGCGATCCATGAGCAAGTTCGGACTCTTGCACTTGTTATGGGCTTGCCTTGCCCGCTGCAATCGCAAGCAATATGCAGAAGAAAAGCCCCGCCGCAAACGACCGAACCTGTACCCAACTCCTCCAACAAACCCAGGGCGCGCTGCCATTGGCCCCGGCGCTCGCAGGCCGAAATCGCCGCGTTGAACGAAAACGCGTCACGCTGGAGGCGCCGCGCGCTGAGCGCCGCCAGCAAAAGGAAGGCCTGTTGCCACTCCGCGGCTTTTTCACAGGCGCTGATGGTGGAGTTGAAGCTGACCACGTCCAACTGCGCCGTGAAAGCGAGGAAACCAGCCAGAAAAACAAAACAAGGAAGGGACACATATCTTAAGCCAATGCGAGGAAGGCTAATGAATACTGGCCGGGTGTCGGAATTCCTGGGAAAACACCAGTGCGTCCCAAGGATATTTTGCATCAACCATGCATACAAGTTCTACCGTGCCAAATTTACAGTTCGGCAAGCAATTGATCAATGGCCGCACAGCGCTCTGTCGATTGTTGTCATGACCTTACAATGGCTCTTATTAGCGAACTGCTTTTTCTTAAACAATTCGTGGACCAGGCTGAACCAAACCCCGGCCTGGAGGTCTCGCACGTCAGCTGCCCAAAGAAGATGCAAAGCGCTCTGCCAACCTGTGCACTCAACATTCATGGAGACACCAGTGGCGAGAAAGAGCAAATTTCCCGAGGACATGTTCTACCTGGTGCCCAGCTAGTCGGAAACTGAAGCCATGCTTCTAACTGTCAAATTGGCGCCAATATCTTACCATTTCCAAAGTCACCCCGAGCAGTAAGGGAAACAACCGCGGTTTCTGACTTTGATAGCCCCCCAGCAACAAATAAAATCATGCCCCCATACAAGAAGCCTGATGGCTCCTTTCAGACAAGCAACTCATGGCTTTCTCACAGGCGCTGATGGCTGAGTTCAGCGTGACGGCGCTCTGCTCCATTCCTTGAGGTTTGAGCGCACTGCGCTGATCAAATCCCGAACAGAATCTGGAAGCAAGTCAAGTCAAAACTGGCATGCATGAAACTATATAGATGCTACGTTGCTTTTGCAAGGAACATTGTCAAACGGCTCGTACTACTTATAAAACTGTTCGAAACCTTGGACATTGTTTGATCGGGACATCTGAGGGCGAGGATACAGTCAGAGGCGGAGCATGAATAATATATCTCGAAATTGGGACATGAGTGCTTGCCGTTGAAGCCATCAAAAAATGGCCCTCAAAACGAGCCGCACCCGCCAAACAAATATGACTCATAATATGGCAACAACATAACCCTGCAAGTGACGACATACTTGACTATGGGATCTTCAGCTGGAACCAACGCATGTCAATCCAACGCCTATCTCTCAATTGCGCTGAGTATCTCGGAACCGTTCAAACACACGCCAAGGATATGAACATGACGAACGCAATTGATTGAGCTAACATGCAACCAAGTGAACCAAGCAGCTCAAAACAAATGCCACCTGCTGCTGCGGAACTGGTGCGTTGCATCTGCCGCAAGAGCACCATCACAGTCTGCCAATTGAAGTCCTTGCTTGCAGGCGGTACGAGCAGCACCTCATCTTCCTTTTGGTGTAACCTTGTCTTGCACAGGTTAATAACGCGTGCTTCTTGACGAATAGTGTATGCCTATGCCCTTCTATTCGATATTCACGACATCTCATCCAGTCTCACCCGCCGAGCCCTATTCTACATATCCGAGTCAGAAAGTTCAAGCACAACAAACAACAATACGCGTGGGCAACTACAAGCACAACAACATGTATTTGCTTCAGGGCCAGGTGCACATCCTCACGGGTGGTGAGGATAATTCTCTGGCGCGTGTCTTTGAAGGTTGCATGTCTGCTCACCTCTTCACTTGGAGCAGAATACAATCTCAGCATGAAGCCACAAGGGATCAGCATAACTTGCGGGATATGCACGGCCAAACAAGTATGGTCAAGTCTTCAAGGCTGCCACGGTCCACTTTCAGGCTGGTTGGTCGGCTCATAGCCCCCCCAGGTCAGTCATTCGTTGGTTGGTTTGGGTTGGGTTGGGTTGGTTGGTTGGTTGGTTGGTTGGTTGGTTGGTTGGTCGGCTGGTTGGTTGGTATGTTCGTTCGCTCGTTCGTTTGTTAGCTCGGCTTGTTTCCGTTTGGTTCGGCTGCCGGCTCGGCTCAGTTTGGTTGAGTTCTGATGGTTCCAGCGTCAGTTGTGTGGATTCCGTCCTGGCAGGCCATTGCCGCGTTGATGCACACCTCATCCACGCCGCAGCGCACTGCCGGTGCGCCGTGCAGCAAGGCCAGGCTAACTGGCCAGGTGCACCCTGTGGTGGCCGCCTAGGGCAGTGGGCCACACTCTCCACAACAGAACAGAGGCAATCCAGAAGAAACATCTGCATTTGGCACGACATTCAGTTCCTGCTTCAAACTTCAATCAATGGCTGGGGAGAAAGGTCGACATGCTAGCTAAGGTGAAGTGACAACTAAACAATACGTCCAAATGCCTAACATGGTGGCGTGGCAGCCTTGCATAGGAAATGCCACCATCGTGACAACAGCAGCTGCTGCGGAGGTGGCAGCGGCGACAGTATGCGACAGAATGGAAAGCAGTGACAGCCACAACTGCAAAGAGGCCAGTGATATCTAGCAGCGGATTGGACTAGCCGCTTTGATCAGGGTTGGATTCTCACTGCATCTCCCAGCATGAAGCATGCCTCGTCAAGAGAGCCAAGCGCTTTCAAGAGGCAACCCAGAACTTTCATGGATTCATGGAGGATTAAGTATTATGTTCAAAAATCGAGCGAGCAAGCAACCAACCAAATAAATCACAGCCAACACCTGATTCAGATCAACAAAAATCACGCGAAGTAAGCAAGCAACACTTGAAGTCAAGGGCCGCAACAAAGCATACCTACAGCATATATATATATATATATGTATACGATAGTGTTCGCAAATATATATATATATGAGGAGCGGACGAAACCCTTTACTTGGCCTTAGTACTTTTTTTAACGTCATCGTTTTTGGGGGAGACCTCATCGTTTTACAGTGTTTTCGAACTTTGGCAGATCCGGCTCCAAAATCGCAACTTTCTAGCACAAGTCTAGTACGCGAAGTACACTTCCGCAGCTCCAGCTCGAAATTCGCAACTTTGTAGTACAAGTCTAGTACGCGAAGTACACTTCCGCAGCTCCAGCCCGAAAATTGCGAAATACAATTCCGCAGCTCCAGCTCGAAAAGCGAAACTTGGCAGGCAGTACAAGTCTAATACGCGAAGTACACTTCCGCATCTCCAGCTCGAAAATCGCAACTGTGCAGTACAAGTCTAGTACGCGAAGTACACTTCCGCATCTCCAGCTCAAAAATCACAACTTTGTCGCGCAAGTCTAGTACGCGAAGTACACTTCCGCAGCTCCAGCTCGAAAATCGCAACTTCGTAGTACAAGTCTAGTACGCGAAGTACACTTCCGCATCTCCAGCTCGAAAATCGCAACTTTGTAGTACAAGTCTAGTACGCGAAGTACACTTCCGCAGCTCCAGCTCGAAAATCGCAACTTTGTAGTACAAGTCTAGTACGCGAAGTACACTTCCGCATCTCCAGCTCGAAAATCGCAACTTTGTAGTACAAGTCTAGTACGCGAAGTACACTTCCGCAGCTCCAGCTCGAAAATCGCAACTTTGTAGTACAAGTCTAGTACGCGAAGTACACTTCCGCATCTCCAGCTCGAAAATCGCAACTTTGTAGTACAAGTCTAGTACGCGAAGTACACTTCCGCAGCTCCAGCTCGAAAATCGCAACTTTGTAGTACAAGTCTAGTACGCGAAGTACACTTCCGCATCTCCAGCTCGAAAATCGCAACTTTGTAGTACAAGTCTAGTACGCGAAGTACACTTCCGCATCTCCAGCTCGAAAATCGCAACTTTGTAGTACAAGTCTAGTACGCGAAGTACACTTCCGCAGCTCCAGCTCGAAAATCGCAACTTTGTAGTACAAGTCTAGTACGCGAAGTACACTTCCGCATCTCCAGCTCGAAAATCGCAACTTTGTAGTACAAGTCTAGTACGCGAAGTACACTTCCGCAGCTCCAGCTCGAAAATCGCAACTTTGTAGTACAAGTCTAGTACGCGAAGTACACTTCCGCAGCTCCAGCTCGAAAATCGCAACTTTGTAGTACAAGTCTAGTACGCGAAGTACACTTCCGCAGCTCCAGCTCGAAAATCGCAACTTTGTAATACAAGTCTAGTACGCGAAGTACACTTCCGCATCTCCAGCTCGAAATTCGCAACTTTGTAGTACAAGTCTAGTACGCGAAGTACACTTCCGCATCTTCAGATCGAAAATCGTAACTTTGTAGTACAAGTCTAGTACGCGAAGTACACTTCCGCATCTCCAGCTCGAAAATCGCAACTTTGTAGTACAAGTCTAGTACGCGAAGTACACTTCCGCATCTCCAGCTCGAAAATCGCAACTTTGTAGTACAAGTCTAGTACGCGAAGTACACTTCCGCATCTCCAGCTCGAAAATCGCAACTTTGTAGTACAAGTCTAGTACGCGAAGTACACTTCCGCAGCTCCAGCTCGAAAATCGCAACTTTGTAGTACAAGTCTAGTACGCGAAGTACACTTCCGCAGCTCCAGCTCGAAAATCGCAACTTTGTAGTACAAGTCTAGTACGCGAAGTACACTTCCGCATCCAGCTCGACGCAACTTTGTAGTACAAGTCTAGTACGCGAAGTACACTTCCGCATCTCCAGCTCGAAAATCGCAACTTTGTAGTACAAGTCTAGTACCGAAGTACACTTCCGCAGCTCCAGCTCGAAAATCGCAACTTTGTAGTACAAGTCTAGTACGCGAAGTACACTTCCGCAGCTCCAGCTCGAAAATCGCAACTTTGTAGTACAAGTCTAGTACGCGAAGTACACTTCCGCAGCTCCAGCTCGAAAATCGCAACTTTGTAGTACAAGTCTAGTACGCGAAGTACACTTCCGCATCTCCAGCTCGAAAATCGCAACTTTGTAGTACAAGTCTAGTACGCGAAGTACACTTCCGCATCTCCAGCTCGAAAATCGCAACTTTGTAGTACAAGTCTAGTACGCGAAGTACACTTCCGCATCTCCAGCTCGAAATCGCAACTTTGTAGTACAAGTCTAGTACGCGAAGTACACTTCCGCATCTCCAGCTCGAAAATCGCAACTTTGTAGTACAAGTCTAGTACGCGAAGTACACTTCCGCATCTCCAGCTCGAAAATCGCAACTTTGTAGTACAAGTCTAGTACGCGAAGTACACTTCCGCAAGCTCGAAAATCGCAACTTTGTAGTACAAGTCTAGTACGCGAAGTACACTTCCGCATCTTCAGCTCGAAAATCGTAACTTTGTAGTACAAGTCTAGTACGTACACTTCCGCAAGCTCGAAAGTCGCAACTTTGCAGTACAAGTCTAGTACGCGAAGAACACTTCCGCAGCTCCAGCTCGAAAATCGCAACTTTGTAGTACAAGTCTAGTACGCGAAGTACACTTCCGCATCTCCAGCTCGAAAATCGCAACTTTGTAGTGCAAGTCTAGTACGCGAAGTACACTTCCGCCTCTGCAGCTCGAAAATCGCAACTTTGTAGTACAAGTCTAGTACGCGAAGTACACTTCCGCAGCTCCAGCTCGAAATTCGCAACTTTGTAGTACAAGTCTAGTACGCGAAGAACACTTCCGCAGCTCCAGCTCGAAAATCGCAGCTTTGTAGTACAAGCCTAGGCTGTACGCGAAGTACACTTCCGCATCTCCAGCTCGAAAATCGCAACTTCTCAGTACAAGTGTCGTATTTACAGAGCCGTGTGTTCGTTAAGGGTCATCGTTTTTGGGGGAGACCTCATCGTTTTCCATGGTTTTGGGATGTGTTACTCAAAAGCGTGCCCCGTCTTGATAAAGTGGTCTACGCGTGTTTTGTCCGTGGCTCATATATAACCAACTGGCACCATCACAACCTCCGTCCCAGTTCCCCATCTGCCCGAGGCACTGCGAGTGTCTGCGCGTTGGCCAGCCGACTTCGCAGGGCAGTGAGGGCGAGGCTGCGGGGCCAAGGCCCGGAGACGCTGAAGAGCATTGCGCTGGGCTGCAGGCCTGGAATACCGAAGGAACAAACTGAGCAAAGCATCCTAGAGTTTGACGAAAGACTCCCAAGAGTTTGGAGGAACATTGAAGGAATATGGACGTTGATAGTCGAATACCAAAGAAATAAAGGACTAAGCAAAGCATCCCAAATTAACGACACCTTAGAAGAGTTGAGAGTTGAGGACATGAGCCAAACCACAACTCAAAGGCTCTGAAAGCCGGTCTATGAGAGGAGATTGCACTTTGGGGGTTTAGCACAACTTGTAACCCGGGGTGATCGAATTCGGGGAGTCCGGGGCTGCAAACATGAAAGTGCACAAACTCCATTTCCAAAACAACGAGTCATCTCCCAAAAGTGGCCTGTTCACTTCCATGTCTGCCGGTGAGAGGGGTGGGGGTTGATTCCCCTCTCTTCCATCGTTCAAAATGTTGTTTCTCCCTCTTTTTCCCTGGTATTTGCCGGCTTTTCCACAGGATAAGCGCTACTTCCGGCGGATGTTTCTTCGGCCTCTGCCATAAACGCCTCGTAGCAGCTCCAGGCCCGCGGCCCATCCAGCCCCCGCGCAGCCGCTGAGGCAGCTGCCCATCGCCACGATGTTTACTTGAAGCCCCCGGTCCTTTGGCTTCGCTTCTGATACTCGCTGTTCGTCTCTCAAAGTCTGTGTACCGATTGTCATGCAAGACAAAGGGTACTCACTGATCGCCCCACAAAAAGGCAGGGTGCCTTAGGCCTTGCCACGACCTGTGGGGGGAACACCACAAATGGGTGGTCGACCTTTGGCTTCCCTTGAGCACAAAGCTAAAACATGTGCCTTCAAGAAGAAACGACCTTGTCCTTGTGTGAAACGTACTGCTGCCGGGCAAGAGCGTTGCCACGAAACAATTTGCCGCCTACAAAAAAGAGACAAGCACCAAACATGATGTGATGTATCTGAAAATGCGGCGTCGACAATTTCTGGACTCAAGAAGCCCACAGATTCGGTACCAAGGTCCACACACGCAACTGAGAGCCCGTCCGCCTGTGTCAGCAAAGTGAGCGCTGCCTCCCACCGGCCGCTTCTTGCCAGTGCCCGCATCAGGGCACTGTAGCTCACGATGTTCGCAAAGCCTTCGCTCGGACAGGTGATTCGGCGATGAAAAGGCGGATGCGTGGGTGTCACGCCATCACTGGGATGAATGGCAACTTGTGCGTGTTGATAAACTGCAAATGCCTATATGGAGTGCCAATGTATCTAAAAGGCTACGTGACAAGGGCATTGCTGATCGCGGCAACAGGAGAACCAGAATATGCAAAGGGAAATCACAGAGCTGAACATGGTGTGGGCTCTAGAAACTCGGAAGATAATCCCATTGCGAGAAATGAGAGGATGGGAATCATGCTATTTCATGCTGGGCTTTCACGTACATGCTTTAAGGGGTCAGTGATTTGGACAACCTTGCACAAGTTGCTCTATGTGTAGCTTCTCATGCTCACTTCAGATCACCAACCCTCTCCATGTACTAGCCAGAGGAAGCTTCCCTGTTCGTGCGGGGGATGGATCCAGCAGAAGATCCTTTTCGATCATGCCGATGAATACGAAATTAACTTTGGCGAGAAAGGAAGGCGGCCAGCAACAAAAGCGGCACTGCCTTATTCAGGTCCAGGGAACCAGGGAAGCAAAGGTGTTTCTTCACTCCTTGTATGTAGGGCAAAACAAAGCAACAATAGGGAAATAAATGGGGATCACTGGAGGATGGGCGCCGCAATCCCACGCCATGCCAAGAAACAACTCTTCAGCACAACCCTACGCCTACGCTGCCTTCTTGTCTGACCAAAAGGCTAGGAACTCAGCAACCACGGAGATGACAACCCCTTTGGGACCAAAAAGCGGTCTGGGCGCCCTGGCCTTGGCTGAAAATATCCACTGCGCTGTGCCACTTCGAGGCTTTTTCACAGGCACTGACGGCTGCGCTGCGCCTCAAACTTGGGCCGAGGGGGGAGGAGGGAAAAACATATTTCCTGTGATGAATGGCAAGCAGTTGTGGTTGAGGGCTGATCCTTGGTGAGTCCGTTGAAGTGCTTAGACCTACACCCCCCAGGGGCAGGCTTGTCCCCAGTACTAGTTCGACGTCCACGACTGGCCTCCGCGAACTGGTCTTGAGCGCAATAGGCGAGACCAGCGTCATTTCATGGGATTGCCGGGAAAACAATGGTGGACATGCAGTCCTGCGAAGGGGAAAGCAACAGGATGCCGACTGCATTCCTCAATCAAGACCTGCAAGGGTAATGGTGGACGCAAGCATTTGCTGTAGTTTAGACGGCAAGCAAAGGGCTACCGGGTGGGCTCCAAATATACAATGAAACGCTTGCATCCAAATCATGGCGGATGCCCGACGCCAGGAGCATGTGCTTATGTAGTTGGCGTATGCTGTGTTTCTCTCTGTGTGTGTGTGCGGTGTGACTGAAAAGTGTGTCGAGTGCCCTTGTGCACCTGTTGTGTGTCAGTTGTGCGCTTGTTCAGTGTGTTTGTTTTCATCTTGTAACAATGCTAAACATCTACACCTTATTCTGTGAGTTAGTTGTCATATTGATGCTGTTGCATTTGACGTGTCTTTTGTTCTCGCTGACTGCTGCCGTTGTTGCGGCACGCGTTGTGTGGACAAGCTCCCAAAAGGTACCGTTGCGAATCATGCGGACATCTGCAAAACCCAGCAAGTTGCCACTATTCGCCAATTTCCCCTGGGTCGTTTCATCCGGTCAAGCCCGCACCATGTTGGGTCAACCAGGGGGTTTTCCGCACTGAGTCTGAAGGATCAAGCTGTCACGTTGCGCGCGGGGCTAGTTCGAAATAGGCTCCGACCCCTCTAGCTTCCCCCACGACCCTCATCCTGCAGTGCAAATGTTGAGGAGACGCAAGGCAACTTTGCTCACAATCGATGGTACAACGCAGATATTCTGCTCGCATGAACAGCTATGTTCTGCAGGTGCAGCAAACTTGCATGACGGCAGCGCAAATGCGGGCCGCTGTTGGTGTCGACCACCGTAGTGCGATGCCAGCCCATGGTACGCATGTGGCCATCGCGAAACAACCCTCCCACCCGCTCCTCCCCCCACCCCACCGGCCCGCAAGGGTGATGAAACGCAAAGAAGGTGTTCCACAAAAATCGCAGGTAAAACACAAACGATTTGCACACCTGCGCAACTGTCTCAAGTTGGCTTATCCCCCCATTGACACAACATGTTGCGTCCATTACATGTGACTGTAAAGTGTTTATGCTGCTTCTATACATCATATACGTCTTGCACGGTGTGTGATCGTGCCAACACCATCTGGGTCGCCGAGATGCATCACGACGTCGCCTTCTATGCCTTCCTGAAATAACATCTGCAGTGCCACGCTCCACTGCGCAGCTTTTTCGCAGGCGCTGACAAACGTGCTGCTGGCAATCCTGAATACGAGGACACAGCTGAAGGATGACTGCAAACCGCTCTTGCCATTTGGGGCGTGTGAGGCAGCAGTACGCAGTGCCAGTGCTAAGAAGTAAATGTTACTAGTATCACATTTCTTCCCTCAACTCCAAGGCTTTGCATGCGCAACTGGCTCTCCATCTGAAGGAGAAATGGGAATGCTATATACCATGGCAGTCACCATGGCTTATCTCTCGATACAGGTTCCTAAAGCCCACTAGGATACCGGTCCCTAGAAGCCAGGCACCCGGCAATTGCCCTGTGCAAGCCATTCAGCCCTCCCACTGAAACCAAGGTCTTCAAGCGTTGCATAGAAACCAATGAAATAGTCACACAGAGCAACACAGAGACTGTCGTAGAGCCTTGGGTCTTTGGCTCCTCGAAGCCCCCTTGCCAAGTGTCAAGTCCGTCTGCAGCCCTCGGTCTGGGAAGCCGGCAAGCAAGAGCGCTGCCTTCGGCCACCCGGACTTCTCCAAGCCAGTGAGGGCGTTGCTGCGCCTCGATAGAGACATGCGAAGAGCAAAAGATCTAAGGGGCAGCTTGGCAGTCTTTTTCAGACCATCCACACAGCCAAGCTGAAAAATTGAAAGGAGTGGTGAGAACGATGCATGAGATGCACTGATGAGATCCTGCTAAAGCTTGAATGCAAGCACTCTTAAGGGAGATCAAAAGGTTCATAACTTGCCTCAAGCATATCAACACTTGATGATCAGGCTTAGGGTCGTCCTTAGGAACATCAAAGTTACTCTAATTTTCTCAAGGAACATGGAAGCCATGTGGTAGAATGACAAGCATTATTAAGGGACCTTCATCATGGTGGACTCACTTTAATCCCAGGTGAGCTTGCACTTAAAATCTGCCAATCATCCTGACATATTTTTGGATGTGTTCCTCTGAAAGCTCTACCAACTATTTATATATGGTATGACCTCAAAACCACCCGGCCGCTCGGCCGCTGCCGCGCCGAGCCGCGCCACGACGCTGGTGAGGCCGGAGCCCTCGAGCTCCGCAAGTACCATCACGGCCTCGCGCCAGCGGGTGCTGGCAGCACAGCATCCCACGACCGCGGAGAAGCTGACGGCGGTTCCTGCGACGGAATGCGGGTGGGCGTGGGACAAAACACACTTCGCACCAGCTGGTTGCTTCCCAATATTTGTAGGGGTGTCATAAGAATCCTACGCTTTGATTCGATGGGGCTGCAATCCCAAAGGCTTCTGGTTCAGAATTGCTCTGGACCCACGTGTGGTTTAAGTGCGGGCGTGTGAACGATGACGATTGTGAACTCCAATGCATTGATTCCTGGTCTCCTTCTCGGAAAACAGCTTATATAAGGTCATATTGTATCACATGCCAACAATACTGCTAACTGTACAAACAAATGGTTAGATCCGGTAAATTGCCTTCTGCAAGTAGATCAAAGTCAATGCCGATTGAGCAGCGAAAGTCTAAGTAATGACAATGAGTCTGTTGGCATGTCAACGAGCCAAACAGATTGGAAATGCAAAACTGAAATCCCACCCCACCACAAATAGGGTGACATGCCAAGATCTTACCAAACTGGGCCAGCTGTGGTCTGCAAGGTGCTTGAAAGCCCCTATCCCTTCAACATTGATGACTTTGCCCGATTGAACTGGAAAAAGGCAAACATCAAACTATCACCCGTTTCAAAATGCAAAAACAAACGATGTCAACGTGTCCACGCAGAGACCTTGGATTGTGAGTGGCTTGCTTCTGGTGAAACCGCGCTGAAAGCTTCAGGCGTGTGCCGTTGCCCCTTGCACCTAGAAAATCATCCACCCGCGTCTGAGCACAAGACATTTCCGCAAGGCAAAGAAGCGCTCAAACTGCCCTGTTAAACGCCATCAAAACCATTCACCCCTCCCCCCCCTCCCCCCGCCAAATCCGGGCGTCTACCATCAGACGCTCTTAACAACTTGATATCTCAATCCCAAGCTGCCTGCGAATCTGGCGGAGTGTCTTGCAGTGGGCATTACTCCAAATCACAAAGCGTGTAGCAAACGTGTCATGCTGCTGGGTTGCAGTGCGCAAATTGCGCGTTGCTGATGACAAGCGCTCGGAAAACGACTTATTGGTGGTCCTCGCAGCTGTCTGCCACGGCAATCTGCCAAAAGGAGCAGGGCCTCCCGCCAGCGCCGCCGTGGTTTGCACGCGGAGATCCATTTGTTCAGCTCCAGGACTGGCCCGGATAGCTGCATCTGCCATGGCCATGGCACAAAGGCAACCGCAGCAGCTCGGGGCGCGAGGACCGGACAATTCCAGGGATTGTAGCAAGTCCAAAGCCCAAGTAGGGCTTACTGATATGGCTGTAACCTTGCCCAACATCTATGACTAACAAATCGACTTTACCTGATGAAGCCAGCATACACTGCTAGTTTTCCTGCTTGACACAGAAGCACGGAGCTTGAGCGTCAAAATTAGGGACTCTTCGAAATGAGTGCTTTGCAGTCGTTCATGCACATCTGGACTGTCTTATTTGGACACCTTCCATTCCATTGCCCGTATGTAAATATATATATATATATATATATTATAGATATGTGCAGCCCCGATTCGTGAGCCCCTCAAATGGCATGATTGCTGGGGTCACAGGGTGGCTGTTCTCAACGAACAGAGGGGCTGCAGCTGAAGATGTTGGTTGCGGGCAACACACACACACACAAAAACCATCACACACCCAATGCAGGAGGTTCTTGCAGCTGCCACTAATGTTCAAGGCCAATTCTGCTGGATTTTTGTAATTAAAGCCGAGCTCAACCCCACAGAATCAAATAAAGCACATCACCAGCCCCACTAAGTGGCCTCTGGGACTCGGGCCGGGCGTTAAGATGTTTTGGATGCCATGTCCCCGCCTTTCTGTATTGTAATTACATTTGCAACTCCGCCCCTTGGCACATACTACGTCGATGGGTGTTCATTTCAGACATTAACCTGCACGGGTTGATCAACTAATCATGCTTTGAATTCGGTTCATGGTCCCCATGGTTGTCTGACCATCACGGTTCCCATCGGCGCCAAAGCCGGTCTCGCCTTGTAGATCCGGAGGTCCGCCTTGCCGAAGGCGGTGGGCACCTGCACCAAGATGATCTCCGGACACGCCTCGCGACCCGCGACCCGCGGGGCGACTGAAACCCGCGAGTCGCCTCCCGTGTTCGAACCAATTCTCTGGGGTTTCAAGGGCGAAGTGGGACCAAAGCCTTGCTTGTGCTCGCCGTGCCATATTATCTTGCTCTTGCTGCCGGGTTAAAACCTAGGGACCTCTTCAACTCTGCCTGCGCGTGCGCCAATGCGTGTGCGTTTGCGTGTGCGTTTGCGTGTGCGTATGCGTGCGCGTGGGCGTGGCCGACTGCGTCTGCGTCTGCGTGTGCGGGTGCGCGCGCGCGTGCGCGTGTCCGTGGCCGTGTGCGTGTGCCTGCGCGTGTGGGTGACTCAAACCATGTTGAGCCCTCAAAACGTTCGCTTGAAGGGACACAACAGAAAACTGCCTGAAGAAGGCCAACTTGGTAAAGCGCCTGATGAAAGGATCCCAAAGGGCAAGGGTACATCGTACGTAGATGCATGACCTTTCGAAGGCAGCCTGGTTTGGTTCCTGTCATCGGACACTCAAGAAGGCGAGCACATGGCCTCGAGCCATATGCCGTGCCCGGCCTTCCGCGCTTCAGCGCCGGACATCTGCCGCGTGACGCCCTTGGCGCGGGCCTCGTAGGATACCGCGATGATGCCGCCCATGGCCCCTGCCACGTATGCTGGCTGGGGTCAACCTCTTTGGGCCTTGAGTCCTTGAGTCTATGGCAATTAGTTTGGTCAAATGCTGCAGCCCTTTCTAGTCGAACTCAAGCAATTGATAGCGCCCCGCTGCCCCCACCTCCTTTGCGCCAGCGGTCTGCCTCTGGCGGCAGGTCTGGTCGACCCCTGTCGCCCGTTGGGTACTGTACCACCTGAGAGCGTGACCATCTGGACAAACTCTGGTGTTTGCACTTGTAGTCTTGTCTCAGTGGATGGGAGGTGGGGGGTGGGGCTCAACCAGTGATAAAAGCTTTGCAGTTTGGGCAGGCCGATTGCCACCCTGTCCGATGTGCTTCGTCGCCTTGCAGTCCAACAGCACTACATGAATATGACAGGTTTTGAGTCAAATCGGCCACGGATGCCCAGGAGGTGTCACAAGCGCGATTGCGAAGTGCGCCGCTCTCCGGAAGTTTCGAGAATATAAGAACAATATATATATATATACATATATATATATATATATATATGTCCGTTCTTCTCCATGCTTCTCTTCTTGCTGGTTGTCATCGTGCATAATGTTATTTGTTTCAGCTGTATTTATCTATGTCCCTTTATGGTTTCTTTCACGTCCTTCTTTCCGTGTTTCCATCAGTATTCCTTTCTTTGCTTCCTTCTTTTATTTACTGTATGTTTTGCTGTATGTATTGCTTTGTTTCTTTATTTCCTTCTTTCCCTGGTTTGCCATTGTTCCCTAGATAGCTGAAAGCAACAGGGGTTCCAACTTCTAATAAAAAGGGGAAGCGATTTGCGAGATTGACGGCCGGATGCTCTGGGGATGCTGCTTGTGGCGCTCTTCGGGGGGTGCTGTTAGAGGTGCTAGTGTGCAATGATCGGCCTAGTTTTTCGCTATCTGGGATCTATTCTGGTGAAATTTGTTTTATGTATGTCTTTCTCTTTTTGCTTCTTTGTGTCCATTTTCAGTCCATGTGTTCCTTTGTTTTCTTCATCCAAGGCCCCGAAACCAACAGAAGGTTGCGCTAGTTTGACATGTCTATTCCCTGCCACACATGCATGCCCTTGTGTTCCTTGCATGCGTATTCGTCTCTTGTTCTTTGCCTCAGAGAGCTGGCTTTCAACTTGTTGCCGCACCAGTAGTTGCTTCTAAACTTCCTTTGATGATATGTACATGTGTGGATAATACAACGACAAATGAAGGCAAGCCGGCAATTAACTTGCAAAACTGTAGGACAGTATCTTTCATACGCGGCTGAGCGTGCGTTGTGGTTTGTTGCGTATGTGCGCTTGTTTAGCTAGGTTGCCCTCTGAGAAACAAACACAACGCGAATTGCAAAACATGCCAGCCCGGCAAAATGAAACTACGCTTCTGAAGTCCTAAGCAATCGTGCCAGAGGTTTCAACCAACATGTTGCCTCCTTCAGTCCAACATATCGCGCACATGTGGCGGGGAGGTGAAGTGCCCGGCCTCACAACAAACTCCCCACTAGCTTGAGCGAATCTAGGTGCGGTTGCACACGGCAAACAAAAGGAGTTAACATGGGCGAGTCACCGAAAAACACGTTGTACTTGGTACCAACTTGGATGATCTGCGGCCCGCACTGCGCAGGGCTTGCCGGCCAGCCGCTTGTCTCTCGCACGCCTTGGCGAAACGAGTTGAGCACAGGAGCTTCTTTGATGGGAGGATTGCTCATCTGAATCATGCTCCAATCTGCTCTGCTGTCAGGATCAGTGCAAATAGCCATCACCCTTCTCTTGCATCTTAGGAATCTTCCCCTGCCTTTCTTCCTGTCCGAATTAGGATGTGCTCCGTCTTTAGTTTGGCCTTGGCCCATGAAAGAAACGGACCCCTCGACACCCTTGGTGAATATTAGCTCATTGGCAAATGGCAAGCAACACAAGAACACACGCACAAAGTCCGGTCGCCGGGCTTGCACTTGACTCGCCATGCGGCTCCACCGCCACATAGAAGCAATCCATGTCTATGAAGCCCACGACTGGGGGGAGCGGCGTGCCTGCCGGTGGCAGAAGGCGAGCGAAGGTAAGCTTTCGGATTTCTGTTCAATTCTGCCCCGAGTGATTTGGGCGGGTCAATAAACAAAACACCTTGGGGCTGCCTTGTGGCATCTCACGACAAATGCATGTTCTCGATCATCAATGATTGATTATCAGATTATCACGACTGACGCTGACCCGGATCAATGAAAACATCATAAATTTGAAGGTCTTTTTCGGACAGCCGGCCTTCAAACAGTCTCTATATAGTCCCACTTCCCTGACTGAAAGGTGAACGAGGAATCTGCAAATTCCAAGCTACTACCAGGCCGTCACACCTTCACACGCCATCTCAAGCCTCAGCTCATGAAGACACGGGAAACCAGTAGATTTCCCCAATCGGTATGTCAATGTGCTCGACTGGAACATCTTGACAACAATACCCTTGCCAAAGTTCTGGCAATCGCCTCTATGCGTCGCCAATCAGTGCCGAGCTGGCTGAAATTTCAGTAGTTCGAACCCGCTTCACGCCCTGACCGGCAGCAACCAAATGCTGGCACTTTATAGTGCGAGCAGAACTGGAGAACGGAGGCTGTGCATCAGGTAAGGCTTCCCGCAACACAAAATTGTAGAAACGTCCACGCACAAGCTCCATGCAACTGGACATATTGCAGTCATTTCTGGGTTGGGCGCATATGAAGAATCCCTCTCAACTGGGATGGTCTCATCTTTTCTTCATACAAAGAACAAAAGCTGTGGGTGGTGTGTTCTTTTTTTGTCCTGTCTCTGCCATTAGCTCTATTTCCTGGGGGCTGCTCTGTGCTCATGGGAGCAAGCAGGACCAAGAAGTCGTGCTCGGCTTCCGTTGGAAAATTATGGCATGCATTGAGCATCGGATTGTTGCCAAGAACTGCATGCAGTCTCGAAGAAACGCAAAGCCTCACGGTTTGGATGGAATAGCTGCCCTTCCTTGTAGAGTCTATTGGATGAAGACTGGGACAGAAGCTAAGGGCTAGTCAAAACTATGAAGTCACCCCTTGACAGCCATCGTGTACAGAAATTCCTCTGCGCTATCTGTGTTCCTGCGCAAAGTTGATCCAACAATTCAAACATGAGGACCGACTCTCCTCCCACTAGCTTTCTTGTATGTCTCTGAGGAACAGACAATCAGCCACAATTGCTTTCTTTTGATTGGTGTCTTCCCAACGCTTCATGGCGCGCCTCTTGCCATTGCAAGCCATGCGCCAAAGGCGAACCCGGCCAGAGCTGTGCAAGTTAGGTCACACGGAACCCAAAAGGGGTGCCTAGTCTGCTCAGTTCAAGCTTGGAAAAGCTACATGCCTTCGCTTGTCCTTTTGCATATATCCAGACTGAGAGCACGCTCCACAATCCTCGGGCTTGGCTGTTGTTCCGAAGGAAGCTGTTCAAGGCGGCAGCTATAGGGATTCTGGACAAGAGACGGCATTTGCTTCTGTGGGCGCTTGGAAATAGTAGGCATGCATTCCACTTAAGTCTGCCCCTTCCGTGTGCACAAAGAAATTGGCACCGACTTTGTAGCAATGCTGCTGGACAAAACATCCATCTGGTTCAAGCACTTGTCTCATCAAATAACACACAGGCACCTTCTAAGCCTCTCTCAGTGCAGAATGTCCCTGCTGTCTGCAGTCTGGCTTGTTAGTTGGCCGGCACAAGCAAAGCAAGGCACTGCTGACAACGAGCGGCGTAGTGCAGCACCGGCGGCAGATTGTTCACCCCGTGAAAGCCCGAAATGTCATCAAACAACGGTGAACCCGCTCTGTTGCTGACCTCCGAAAGAAAAAATGGCCAGGCCTCGAATGTGTGTCCCCACACGAATGTGCTTGCTTGCGCTACCTCCGACGCCAAGGCTCGGGGCAAACATGTAAACAAGGTGGCCAGCACAAAGCCATAATACACGCTTGAATCTTTGAACTGCCTAAGCAAACGCCAAAGCTTTCAATTCGCGTTCCAAGGAGGATCAGCCAGGCTGATCAAACAAATCGGATCAAATTGTCTGATTCACCTTGATTATGTTTTGAGCACGTTCAATACACCTGCTGATCTGTGGCGTGGCACAAAAATAAAGCACATCTGCATGCAACTGAATTGCTTTTCCATCGCACACAGCGAAGGCTGCATTAACAAAGTGTGAGACGCCAGCGTGCTGGCGACATCTTGAATGGGGCTTCCAGCTTCTGGACTCAGGTGACTTCATGCGAACTAGCAACAACTTCCAGAACCTGGCTGAAGACTTGAATCATGTCACTAGATGAGACTGACAGAGGCCTCATTGAAAGGACAGGATGCTTTTAAGTTGCCTGCCCCCATTGTGATTCATCAGCTTGGCTTTGATCTCACGACCCGCACGCGCATGGGCGACAATGCTTCTCGAGAGGGAGATGGCGTCAGAACACCTGGCAAACTCTCGACTAGCACGCTGCCGTTGCTGGCCCCCATCGTCCCGGACAGCTGTAAAGTAGGGGATCTGTAAAACAGCCCTGACTGCCATCGACCTACCGAAGCTAAACACAATTCAACATGATAACAACATGTTTCCACAAGTGGAAACCGTCAAGCTGTCTTCGGGAATGGCATCCGGTTCAGCATGGCAGGACGGATTGCACCCGCAAACATAGTGACAAATATCCCACCTGCAGGCAAACATGCAAAAAGAGGTTTGCCGGGGTCAGGAAACAGCTGTCGCGTAAGGGCACAGACTTTCTCGGTGTTCCACGTTTGCTTGCTTAGTAATCGCTGTCCTTGAAGAAACAATTTATGACTGCTCTGCATCGAGGCTTTCTCTTCCTCAAACAGGGCAATGTATCCCCAGGCCGATGTCTGAACACCTCGCGCATGAAACTGGATGGGAGTGTCTCAAAATAGTGGATCTCCTTGTGATTGGTGTTTGAAGGGCACCAAAAGGAAACCGACCATGTTCGGCACCTGCTTTTGAGAAACACACAGAACTTCTTTGGTTGGTGCTTCAGGAGGTTTAGTCATGTCCAAGGAGCCCAATTTTCTACGTGCCCCGGTTGCCCCTCGCCTGTCGACTGGCCCGCAGGGGCAAAGAAACCTCGGCACAATGCCTCGGGGGAGCATGGCACGTGCTCGGGGGGGCATCTGAGATTCTGAGCAAAGCTTGGCTGAATATATTGACCCACTTAAGGATCAACGAAAACGCCGCATTCATCATAGGTCACACCCATTGTTCTACACATGGATCATAGTTCGTGCGGCAATGAATAACACCTTAGCTTTGCACCCTAGCCACATGGTATCTACAACATATCTTTTGAGATGCTGCTTGTGATTAAGGCAACAAATGCAGAGCTGTATGCGCATCGCCCAACTCAACGAGCAAAGGGTCATCAAAAGGCAATGCTGCTCCTAGTATATACAAGAACCAAAAATTGAAACTGTTGACATTCGCTCGCATAAAGGGCCGGCAAGGGCTCATCTATATATGCCGCAAGCATTGCATCAGTGAGTGTGCGGAACTTGCAACTTGGTCTGATTCGGCATCCTGTATCTGCACGTACATCGAGAAGCACTCCCTCAAAGATACCAAGAATAAACATGTTAGCAATAACTTGATCATCTAACATTAACGGGCTGGCAACGAAAAGTACTTTTGCCAAACGAGCCTCGAATTGTGCTATTCATTGCGTTGGCACAGGCTTTGGTTTGAGAATCTCGGGGCGTACAGCAGGAGCATGTCGGCAGGGGCTCAAGCAGTCAGCAAATTGTGGGTGTAGTACCTGTTGCTTGCGAAGCAAGGCTTGGCAACACCACACCAAGAAAGAGCAGTAGAATTGCACATTGCACTCTTGCGTGCAAGGAAACTGAACTGACGAGTCAACAAGCTGCCAACACTGCAAAAGCTTTTCGTGTTGCCGGGGGGGTGAGGTGGAGGTGTCAATGGCAAGCACACACACAGAGCATGAAGCACAGGGGTCAATTCTGGCACCAACAAACTCACCACGCTCCACAATTCAGAAACGCAGGTGTCACAACCCCCAAGCAAGTTGAACAGCGGCTCCGGGCCATCTCCAGGCTTGGCGCAGGCTGAGAGACCTGATGATGCGCGAATGGCTCACCAGGGGCCAGACCGTCGTCATGCTCAAGCCATTTCTGTTGGGGTGGCTTTATAAACTGATGCACAACAAGCTTGAACTTGCACAATCATACTCATATTCCAAGCTCAGTGGCCAATGCTGCATGGTGTGCGGCATGAGGCTGAACCCCTCACTTGCTGCATCTTTACAGATTCAAACTGCAAGTGGCATTAGTGTTGGCCCATCATGTTGCCAGAACGCCAGACTATGCATAAAATGCCTCCTCATGCTACCAGAACGCCAATAGTTTGAAGATATACTGAACATATGTATGTATATATTCCCCTGCGCTTGCCCTTGCTTTTCCATTGCTTATCCCTTGCTTCCGGCCGCTGTCACACTCTGACTGCTGGGCTCTCGAACGGGACTTGGCTCCTGAGATTTGGATCTTTGCAGCGTCTCCACCGCCTGGCTCCGCAACTGATGGATGCAGCTTTCCTGGTCCCCGGTTGTTTAGTGCTGGCCACGGCTGAAATGGCAAAACATGCCGGCAAATTGCATGGCTGTGGCATGCTGCCAGCCAGGACGTGTTTGGGAGCGCAGTCTGTTTCGTTCGAGCGCATCTTGCGTGGCACTTCCACATTGCACTGCTCCAAGCGAGAATTTAGAACGTAGGTTGAAAGCCAAATGTTCAACTTCAAACCATGCGATACCTTCAAGGGGCAGACATTGATGAAGTTGTGTTTTAACGAATGAGGATTGCAGTGGGCTTCATTTGCAGGATTGCCTGCATATGAAGTCGCTCGCAGCTGAGGTCAACATTTGTTCACAACAATGCAGTCACAGCATCCTTCGACCTGGAAATGGTGTCTTGTTCCCAGCCTTTTTCCGTGCGCGGCCTAGTAGGAGCTTGGCATGCTCTTCCTGGAGAAGTGACGGGCCATTGCTAAAGCATCCTCTGCCGCATAAGGGTCTCACGTGTCCACATAATGTGTCGTGAATGCAATGTGATTTCAAAGCTGCTGGCAACTGGAGAAGCTCCTCAGCTTGTCACAAACACGTGGCTAGCAAATGTATACACAGACATAATACTAAATCATACTAAGGTGTGACCATGAGCCGTGAGCTGGGTCTGCGGATAATAGCTGAACTACTAGCAGAATGCGAAAGTTTGATTGGGAGGCTGGTCCCCGCCGTTTTGGCGTACCTTCACTTGTTTGGGGAACCGCTAACTCACCAGGTTGATAAAATGTGGGGTTGACGGAGTCAGAACCTCGTAAGCCAAGCTGTAGCATCAGGCCTTTGAAGCCGAAGTCGAACCGGATGTGCACCCCGTTCAAGCAGCATTGTGAATGGAAGAAAATGCAGGTTCCTTTTGACACTTTTGACCACCCAATGTGCATCTTAGGCTTTGACTGGGGGCAAGGAAGCTGAATGCTTTCAGTCATGTAATTAGTCATCTGGCTCACCTTGAAAGTGGCTTGAGCGCATGAATCTCCGATTCCGCCATGAAACCCAAGGAGCCCATGGAGTTCACCTGGCTTTGTGTTCGTGCTGCACTCCAGTACAATACGCTTGCTGCTGGTGAAGCCAAAGCACTCCTCAGCAAACCACAGTTTCCACGCAGGCTGGCCACCCGTCACCCGTGGCAAATATGGCCATGGGTCAAAAAAAACGTACCGCCAGTGAACATCCCAATCCCCACTAAAATAGACCAACATAGGTAGCGCACCTGACCCAAAATGGTACCGTTGGTTTTGACCCACAGCCATATATGCGAACATGTCGGTCAAAAGGGCTCCACGTGTCTCTCAGCTGCGGCTCCTGCAGCTGCAAGCTCTCCACCTCGATGCTTTGACACAGCCTCGAGACACGAGGCACGGTGGGGAAGGACCAGAAAGGTGTGGAAGACATGGGGGCGAGAATCAGATTCCACTTGGTGTCCCTCCAAAACAACTTGAGCCTTGGTTTCGTTTTTTTGGGTAAACAAAAAGCAGAACAGGAAAAGGTGGGCCTTCGACACCTCTACCACTTTCCAAATATCTAACTTCGAGCAGAACTTGCAACTGCAAAAGGGGGCTTTCCTGGCTCTCCTGTCCTTAAGAATGGCTGCCCGGATCTGTTCAAGCCTCAACTCGGCCTGACCAAACCCCGCCCCCACCCCCTTGCCCCCCCAAACTGCTGGCCTCTGCAGCTCGTCGCGCCGCCTCACCAGCGCAGCCTTGCGGGCCCGCGCTACCTCCAGCCGCTGCCTGGCGATTTGGCTGCACAGGTTGGACCCAAGGTTCACCGGGGTTGTCCCACAGGGAGCAAAACGGGAGTCTCAGAACGAATGGCCCAAAGTGGCCAGTGGCAAGTCTCCGTTCTTGTCAAACGGGCTAAGCCACATCCATTTAATTAAGCCACATGGTCTGTTGTTGCCCCGCCCCCATCAAGCATAAGCATAGCTCATGCTGCCAGGCCAGAACCTTCAGATAGCTCGGTCCACCTGCCTCTGCGACAAGTCTGCAAGATTGCTGCGTGTTCCTAAAGTGTTGGTGGAGCAATACAAGCAAGCAGTCTTTACTAAGAACACGCAAAACCACAATCAACATCACGGCTTCGTGGAGCCTGGCTGATCATCTCTCTATCGCGAGGCCTGCGCGACGCTTGTTTTAAAGTGTAATGTCAAAAGTTGTCGATGGCAAGCACAGGATGCTTGCGGAACAACTGCTGCGCGCCTTAAGTGCTTGTCCCTAATAGTTGCCCTATGGCCATCGCACCATGCAGCTAGCCATTGCCAGGCCAATTGCCCGCCCGGCTATCTTTGAGAGGTGACACGCTAAGCCTTGCGCTTGCACGCTCCCAAACAAAACGTGACAAAACACAGACGTGTACTCCCTGGACCGAGATGGCTTTGCGGATGTCCTCGATATTGAAGCCGAGATCTCGTACATGGAAAGCCCATCAGCCCTTTGTTTCTTCCATGGCCTGGCAAAGGCCTCCTTCTGCTGCTCCAACACCTTGCCGCGCCGGCATTCTGTCACCTGCCGAATGGCCAAATTGGCACTGGCAAAAGCCGTGGAGCGATAGAAATGAGCATGGATGGCTCAGCAGTTTCGAAGGCATCTGGATGTTTTGCAAGTCGACCTTTTATGCGTTTGTCAGGGCAACATATTATGTATGAGCAGCGAAGAGCAACGATGTTCAAACTTGCCTCATCACAAAAAAAAACAACAACTCAACACTGAGCCTATGATTGTGTGTCAGTGTGGTACTGCAGTTGCATTCCTGGATCAAAACCCTGGACGTGGCAGATTTAAGCAAAACATGTAGCATTGTTGCGGCCCGCAAACAATCACCTTGCCTCACCGATGCAAGTTTCTATCTCAGTTGTGCGTTGCACAGCTCAAAACTGTTGGCAAACAAACAAACAAACAAACAAACGATTAAAACAAACAAACAAACAAACAAACAAACAAACAAGCAAGCAAGCAAGCAAGCAAGCAAGCAAGCAAGCAAAACAGCACGCCATCAAGCAAGCTAGCAAGCAAGCAAGCAAGCTAGCAAGCAAGCTAGCAAGCAAGCAAGCAAGCTAGCAAGCAAGCAAGCAAGCAAGCAAGCAAGCAAGCAAGCACGCCATCAAGCAGGCAAAACAAGCAAACACGCAAACAAGCAAACAAACATTAGCACAACATTTCCTGAACGGCTACGTCAAGTCTCTTCGCTGCCATCGCTTGGTTACGGCTGGTCCATCTGCACAAGCCCTCTCATACTCGCACGCCAGCCACTAAGCGGCTTCCACCAGTTCGCATATGCGGCTTCCAGCCAAGCACATGATACAAGTGGGACTGCAGCAATGACCTTTGCTGACTCTTGAAGCCATTTTCAGGAGCTTGTATGCCAAACGACCGGACACTCCTCGCATGGGACTTGGCCCCGCCTTGGTCTCCAGCTGCTCCACGTCGCTAACCGCTGTGCCCAGGGACAGCTCCAAGTCCGCGCACTGCGCCTGACTCGCGGACTCGACACGAGCCAAAGCAGCTTGGCTTCAAGTTCCCCGAATGCCCGCAGTGCATTTGGTGGGCAAATTAGGAAGGGCCGTGAATCTGGCTAAACATTGCTGAACAGCTACATTTTACCAAAACATATGTGGCAGGATTCCATGCAATTGCCTCGCGAAAGCCTTCTTGTTGGTTGGTATGGCCGAAGCTAACAATCTGTCTTTGTTCTCAACCCGAGGAGCATGGAAACTGCGAAAAACAAGGCTACCATGCCTCTAATGCATCGCAACTATGCACCGCTAGCCTGAACTTTTGGCGTCTGCAAACAAAGCAAGCACAGCTGAAATGTCAGCAAAGGGTAAAATAATGGCTGAACGCGACAAAAGAAATGAGCGATTCAGTATGATTCCATGATGCCAAACGCAAAGGCCACAGCGACACAATCAAATTCAAATGGTGAAAAGTACAACCAGGCTTTAGAGCCGGCCGAAATTCGTGTTCTGACGTAGTTGGACCCATCCTCAGGCCAGGAGGTTACTCGCGGCCTGCTTCAGGAAACGTTCTGCCCTAAGGCAAGATCTAGCGGTCCGTCCGTGGCCCTAGTAGTTCCTTGCTCTCTGGGTAGCGAACGCAACTTACACTCAGAAGTTTTGAAACCCGCATAGATGTGCCACCGTGGGGTGCTGCTCCACTGAAGACACTGCGAAGTGTCATCAGGCCATTCTTAGCAACACAATGGGCACCCCTGCATGCTTTATGCCTCCCAAAGGATAATCAAAGAGAACCAAAAGACTTCAATTGCCACAACACAAACAAATGGGAAGCAAAAGAAAACCAGAAGGTTCGAGAGGAACACTCCTAGGGCCACTGCCAGAAGCCCAGCAAGCCCCGGGCTTCACATGCCTCCATGTCCCGAAGCTCTTGCTGGAGATGGGCCACCTGCGGTTAGAATGACAAACTGGGATGAGCTGGGGGTTCATGATTGAAACCCTGATGTGGCTCTACAAGATAGATTTCGTCCCAAATAAATCTCACAGGAATGGGACTTTAGATGTGGCATCCGATGGGTTGAGGTGCTCTACCTTTTCTGCAGAATCCCCTTACCCTTCCATTAATTTGGCGCTGGGTGCGTTTTCTGATGCTTTGAAATGTGACTATTTTGCAATCATTTGTTTGCGTGCTGACAACTTGTACTTCTGCATACGTTGAAATGGCCCAAGCCCAAACTCAAGGATATTTGACTGTCTTCTCATTTGGATAGCACAGTCATGAACTTGTGGGGATGGGTCCGATAATTGTCGTCAGGTGCTTTAACAAAGGCCGTGAGAATCTGCGAAACAAACGAAAACGCACACCGAGTTTGTGCCGAGAGCTTCGGAAGATCCCCTTTTGCTGGATGGCAAGCTCTACACTAAGTTACAAACATACGAAGACGGGGGCTGGCAGATGTGGACCCATTTGCGCCTCTGACAATTGAGTCAGACCCAAAGCCATAGGTCCAAATGATTGCAGCTCCACCAGGCTACAGTCCTCTCTTGGTCAACTGCCACAGGTTGGTGGCTTATGTGAACAACTTGAGAGTAGCCGCTGCCAAACATCAGGGCACCCTGGCCTTCTGTGGCCTCAATACTTTGAAATGGCCGCTTGGCAGCTCAATCTACCAGACTGGGTTCATGGACAAAGCACTCAGAATGAGCAAAAGGCCAACCCGGCTTGCCACATTGTTGCCCGCTGGCCTCACTGCGGTGGCCATGTGCTTGCCTTTGGTGCTGAACCAGGTGCTCCTGGGGATGGGGGCAATGCTGAACCGAAGAAATCTTCAATCCAGGATGTGCTAGCACGTGCTAGCACATACCAGTTAGTCCTAAGGACGGATTGAAGATTTCCGGAACAAGTGGTCTGAGAATCTTCAATCTTCAATCTTCAATCCAGGACGTGCTAGCACGCGCTAGCACATCCTAGATTGCACTAAGTACCGATGCTAGAATTTAGGTCTAAAAAGGAGTGCATTTTTCAGAGCCTGATTTTAGAAGCTGGAACGTGTGTTTTGCATGCATTTTTACAGCCAAAATGTCAATTTCTGGCAAAAAACCTGAGTATTCCAGGGGGGGGGTACCATATATATATGTATATATATATATATATATATATGTGCAGATCCGTCATCCTGTTTGTCCCGGATAGTCATGGCCTTTACTTTCACATGGTCACATGTTTGAACCATCTGGGCATGTTCATGATGAAGGAACCTTTAATCCCTCGCTACATGTAGTGTAGATTTAGACTCTGATTAAATGAGCTTCCGACGTGTAAAACACACACACACACACTCTCATGGAGATCAAACAGCACCATGTGTGCACTCGCATTTGTGTATGCATACTGAAACACGTGTATACATGCGTATCAATGACCCCCTCCCCACCCTCTCGACTGTTGGATAAACAGCGCAGCAAAAAGGTATCACTAACGCCCGGACGCCCTCCTTCCATTTAATTTAAGGTCAGTAAAAACGATTCGTTTGTTGGGCTTGTGGTTGAGGGCTTGGTTCTGGGTGAGGTGTTCGGTGTTGCTTTCGGCTGGGTTAAAAGGCTAACTTTCGTCGCGGGCTTACTTGGAATTAAGGCCGGATGGGCGGGCGGTGGCCTTCTCGGACTCACCGCTTCCAAAAGCAGAAGGGGACTGCACCCCACTCGTTTTCTGCATGCGTATGCCAACACATTCATTGTTCGGGCAATTGGTCTCGCTTGGAAATTGATATTGGAAAGAGATGGCTTGGGATCGGAAAGCTGAGCAAAGAATGCAACTTCACCACTGAAAGTGGCTAGTCGGCAAGGCATACCATCAAATATTCTGACGGTGCAGGGTTAATAGTTGATGATCATCTCAATGGAAATCTGATTCAAGTGCTCAAACTTGGGAGTATGTTCCCGTCAATGCTCAACGTTTTCAAGTAGTGTCCTGAGGACCGACGGTAAAACCCGCCCGGAACAGGGTTGACCTTTGCAAACCTTCAGTGCAAAAGATCCATTTCAGGGAGGTTCCTCTGGTACAGCCACAAAGGGTGTGCATTGGCAAAATGTGTAAGCACGACACGGACTAACCCTTGCCTGATTTTCTGCTTGTGAACACCGCAAGGATCTAAGAAGCTCTCCATGGCTCAACATGGCGACTGAAGACACCGTGTGAAAGAAATGCCCAAAGGGCCAGCAACATCGTTCAATGCCCATTGCTTCAATGCCCATGGTCGGAAGACAACTTGGCCTAGCAATAAACCAGAATGGCCTTCCAGGCTGTTTACATAATACATAAATATGTATATATATATATATATGGGTTTGTATTTTTTTAGGGTGGCCGGGCAGGAAGGTTTGAGTACGGGGTATGATTCGCAGGTATGATTCGCGGGTATGATTCGGGGTATGATTCGGGGGTATGATTCGCGGAAGCAGCAGCAGCAGCAGCAGCAGAAGTAGTAGCAGTAGTCGCCGAAGTAGTAGTACTAGTGGTAATATTGTAGTAGTAACAATAGTAGTAGTAGTAGTAACAATACTAGTAGTAGTAGTAGTAGTAGTAGTAGTAGTAGTAGTAGTAGTAGTAGTAGTAGTAGTAGTAGTAGTAGTGGTAGTAGTAGTAGTAGTAGTAGTATAATACTAGTAGTAGTAGTTGGTAGTAGTAGTAGTAGTAGTAGTAGTAGTAGTAGTAGTAGTAGTAGTAGTAGTAGTAGTAGTAGTAGTAGTAGTAGTAGTAGTACTAGTAGTCGTGGTAGTAGTAGTAGTAGTAGTAGTAGTAGTAGTAGGTAGTAGTAGTAGTAGTGGTAGTAGTAGTAACAGTAGAAGCAGCGACGTAGTGGCGCGGAAGCTTTGAAAAGACTTGGCGCTGGCCTTGGCAAGGCAAGTTCATTGCGCGGGTATGATTCGGGTATGATTCGGGTATGATTCGCGGGTATGATTCGGCTAGGTGCAAAACGGCACTGATTACAAACTCGTAGTAGCTGTGGTAGTAGTAGTAGTAGTAGTAGTAGCAGTAGTAGTGGTAGTAGTAGTAGTAGCAGTTGCAGAAGTAGTGGTAGCAGCTGTAGCATAAGCAGCAGCGGCTGTAGTGGTGCGGACGCTGTGAAAAAGACTTAGCACTAGCCTTGGCAGGGGAAGCTCATTGTCCGGGTATGATTCGGGTATGATTCGCGGGTATGATTCGGCTAGGTGCAAAACGGCACTGATTACAGACTCAGAATGATGTATGTGGTAGTAGTGAGTAGCAGCAGCAGCAGGAATAGTAGTAGTAGAAGTAGTACTAGTAGTAGTAGTAGTAGTAGTAGTAGTAGTAGTAGTAGTAGTGGTAGTGGTAGTGGTAGTAAGAGTAGTAGTAGTAATTGGAGTAGTAGGAGTAGTAGTAGTAGTAGTAGTAGTAGTAGTAGTAGTAGTAGCGGCAGTGGCAGTGGTAGTGGTAGTATTGGGTAGCGCTGGTGGTGGTTGTTGTGGAGACAGTGAACAACACAAAACGGTAGAAGAACAGTAGTATCTTGCAGCATACGTTTTAAGGGGTATGATTCGGGGGTATGATTCGGGGTATGAATCGGGGGTATGATTCGGGGAGGTCCCACCTTCTGCCTTTTGAAGCAACTCAACACACCAAAAAAGGACAAACCCATATGTAAAGCGGTACCTACCAGCTTAGAATCGTTCAGGAACAGCTCAGAGCAACCATCTGCAAATCTTAGAATTATTCCAGGACTCGAAATAAGAAAATGGATCGCCGAGCAAAGGACCTGTTGAAAAAGCCGTCACAGGGCGCTTATCTGAGACTCGGAGCAACGAACACACTCGGCCACCAGACTGGACCAGGGCCAACCGCTGGTTGAAACCATGTCTAAACCACTAGTGTTTGGACAACCTCCTGTTTAGTTCCTCTCTTTTTTCGGGGTCGAATCGGGGCTGGTGAATGTTGTTCAAAGGCTTGCAGCCCTCAGGATGTCGGAATATCTTGACCCTGCGAATTGGTGGTTTTTCCTTTTCCGTTCCTGAAAGGGGAACCAACTCAAAACAACATGGAGTATATGATGTTCTACCACCACGGCTGGAAAAGAGGGGGAACTTTGGGGTAACCCCTCCCCACCCTCTGCTGAATCCTCGCAGGCGCCGCTGAGCGCTTGGAGTCGGCTCTGGTGATCTGAGGTGGAGGCGGCTGTGCTGGAGGCGCAGTGCCGCAGGGCCAGCCTTTCGACAAACGAGGGATTTGCTGTGGGTGTTGATTTTAATAGGGGACCCTGTGGTGGACATCAGTTCGGGGACTCATGTCCACCAACCACTCGGGAGGTGGCTCCCTATTAAAGTGTGTGGCCATTTTGCGTCTATGGACAAGTCTTGCCCCAGCTGGTAGGATGACACATATCAAGACAAACACCGCCTACCAACTGGTAGCAGGCACAGTGTGTCCCTAGGGCGGTTTGAACATCATCTGTGTGAAAGTTGCTTGAGTTTTGTTAGGGTCATGGTTAAAGGGCTTTGAACATTCGCAAAAACAACCTACCAAATGGGTATGAATCTCAAGGACCGCCTTGATGGACACCATTTGCCTGGGGATTTGTGTCCACTAACTTTGGGGGATGTGCTGAACAATGATCAGCTCCAGATCCATTCGACTTGACTCTTGCCTTGCAGGCGTTTGAGGGCTTCTCAAGCTGGTTGGAGCTTTTTGGGGATCAACCAAATTCAAACCTGCTCCCCTTACCATGGCTTGTGTTTCTTCTTGGTCTCTTGAATGGTAGGGAGGTGTAACTGCCACAGGCTGGACCTTGATGATTCACACGGAGAGTTGGCTTTGGGAAAGGTGCCAGGTGGAGATGAACCAAGCCGAAAGTTGCTTGAGTTGAATTCAGGCATTGGGAACGCAATATCTGCCAGGCCCCAAGGCCCCAAGGCCCCGAGGGGTAGGTTGATTCCGCACGCCAACCTGAGCGGCCATCAGTCTGACCAGCTCCACGGGGGCATGCGTGCGCTGCAGGCAAATGTGGCGCAAGTCGCAAGCTCGTCCAAAGGGGAGGCGCACTCGCATTCTGGGGGCCAGCTGGAAAACAATAATGAACATGTTGCTCCTCCGACATTGTACGGCTTGCACATTTCATCAAAGCGTTGTTTCATCGGGTGCTGCAATTCTTTGAATGGTCCCGGAACTGTTGCTGCTACTGAGAGAGAAAAAACTGATTATTTGATTGATGGGGCATGGGCGCCTCAGCCTCACCTCTGGATGCCCACCCAGCCTTTCCCCCAACTTCATAAACCAGTGTATGTAATATATATATATATATATAAAAAAAAAAAGGCTAAACTTATTAAACAAAGCAAACCACCACGACCTCCGCCATCTGCTGAGAATAGCACCGACTGCTACCGCATCCAAGCGGCTGCACGTGTGCCTGACGCTTCGAGCTCTCCTGCCAAAAGAGAAGGCCGCTTCAAATACCCCCAGAGCAGCAAACAGTGACGTATCTCTGGGGGTCAAGGCACGCTTTCTGAATTTCCAACTGGAAACAAAGGAATCCGCAGTAAATGACTTGCATCATAAGCGAGCTCGTTTAACCCTTATAATTTTCCCTGGCACTGCTGCGTAGTGAAAATCCTACCACAAGTTCAGAAGTTCAAGCATGTCGGGCAGCCGAAAGAACCCCCGACCTCAAGCGCAAAGGTGTGGAAACGCAATTTACAGCTTCATTTGCTGGTTGGGTGTTGGGTTCCAAGTTGTTGCGCGCGCAAATTCCGGGGTGGTTTTCGCCGGGTAAATGTTCAAGTTCCCCATCTTTGTGGACGAACCCAGTGGAGCACAGCAGATTGAAATGTCTGTGACGTACTTCAGGGAGGGCTCCTTGGGAAGTGGTGGTAGGACCTGACCAAGCCATTGAGAGCCTCCGGCACCCACAGGGACATCGTCAGCCCAACCAGCGCCCCCTCCCGAAAACTTGACTGGCCTTTCTGTGAGCAACCTGGTATGTTGAGTGCCACGAAGCCCAAAGATTGTCAAAGAGAGCCCAGTAGTTGACTAAATATAGACGTTCTCAAAGTTTACCTCCTTTCAACCTATGCTGCAGGGGCACTTTGATTGTGAAATTCATGAGGCCTGCTAAGATGCTGCATTTTACAGAACACTCAAGCAACATGCACTTCTTTTGCACTAGCACAGTGAACATTCGGCATCGCTTCGACATCCCCGGCATCATTTTCAACATCGTCAGCATCACCAGTTGGCTTCAGTTTAGGGTAGGTTCAAGGTTGGCTCAGGGTTGGTTCAGGCTGGGTTCCGCGCTTGTGTAGGGCCAGTTTGGGGTCGGCTTGGGGTTGGCTTAGCCGGGTTCCGTTGGTTTTGAGTTTGCTTGTCAGGGTTGGTTTAGGGTGGTGTGAGGCCGGAAAAGGGTGGGTTTAAAGTTGGTTTAGCCTGTGGTTTGAGGATCTTTAGAGTTTGTTCAGGGGTTGGTTTTGCCTTTTAAGGACATGACCAAGCCGAACGACGGCCCTATAAAGAAGCGGGCAGGGCCTCCGCATTAGAAAACTAACGATAGTATGGAGAAAGTTCGCGATTACAAACAAGGTGCTCTAAGAAGCTGAGACGCCAAAAAGCCAGAAAAAGACGGTGATGCTGGGGATGTTCCTGTTGATAGGGAGGATGCGGAAAGCCAAGGCCCAAAACGTGCACTTCTACCAATAGGGTTCTTCTCAAGTCTTGGGTGAGCATCCGTGACCAGAGAAAAGGAGGTCATGAAAGGGTCCTCGATGGACCACTCCAGGGCAAGGCGTTGTGAGGACATCTGCTCCACAGTGCAGCTGCCAGCCTGGAGCCATCAGCCCATTCACCGAAGGGAAGTCTCTGAAGCAAAGGCCCTGTCATCTGGCCAGTTGGGTGAAAGTAGCTGCCGAAATTCCCCCCGTCGGGCTAGACACCCCCTTTGCCTACCGACAGAAACAATGGGTGAAAGCAAATGCTGCAATTCCGCAATTGGGGCCTACAGGATGAGAATGCTGTCATCTACTTTCACCCTGACAAAGCAAACTTCCTTGGTTATGGGTGGGCTTGACCTTTCTTTGTTTTTCCGAAGTTAAGCTCGTTGTAGTTTGCCCAGAGTCATGAACGGGCATGCTTTGAACCACAAACGTTTCTATATGTATACATAAATATATATATGCAGCATATTGCACAGTGTGGAAGGCAACATGGCAAGCGCTCTCGTGATTCGGCTGATGGATAGGCGATGGGCAGCAACTTGCCATGTAAGAAGAAAGCCGGGCACCGCCTCTGGATACCCATGAGACACCAGGATACGTAAGCTATCGACAAACCAGGCAATCCTTCATTCAACCCAGCCAGTTCCCAGCGACCTGAGGTCTCCTGCCCAGAAGCTATTTGTTGCCATCGGAAGTCTGGGGTTCTGAACACATTGTCGCTGGAATTATTTATATTTCCAGAAAGGCCTCCTTGATCCCATAGACCTCACTGGGTGGCGCATCAGCAGGCCTAGGGCACAAACTCTAAGTGGCAAACTGGTCCTGCCTATCACCCTTCTCACCATCACTCATCCCTCCTAGGTTGGCTCATTTGGGTTGCAATCCAGCAAAGGCAATCGGCAAATGCGGACGATCCAACAAGCACCCCCCAAAGCTCATTCCAGAAGCCCACGCCCCCCACCCCTCCCCCGGCCGCCTCCAGCATCTGCTTGGACTCTGAAAGCTCCGCTTGGGCGCCCTCGCATTCCTGTCTCGCCGGTGCCAGGTTGCACCGCACCACTCACATGTAACACAAAAAGGCATGACCTGTGTTGTTCTTATGGCTTTATCTTTTTTACTTTATTTATTTATCAGGCAGTCGAATTGCACACTCTTCCAGAGTTGGCGGCACTGGTGCCGGCAATTCCTCCTTTCGCGAAGACGTGTGGTTCTTACTTGCGCCTAGAGTGACTAGAGGTTCCGAAAAGCTTGAAAAACGTAATATCCATGACGTAGCTTCGTTCAGAGAGCCAAACTCGAGATGCCAGGCCTGGTCCTTCATTGTTTCTTCTCGACGGAGCTCAGTGTTGGCCCCTGACTCCCTTTTCCAGGCCCCTTCATTTGTTTAGATGATCTACGCATCATCCCTTGGGCCATTTCAAGATTCGCGAGTTTCCTTCCAATCTTTGAAGGGCACACGGAAGAAACCCCCGGCTCACGAGGACCCCATGGCCGCCCAAATGAATTCCAACGGGTCCTGCTGCAGGCTGAGGCACTCCTGTTGCAGTTTCCTCCTCTCCACGACGCTGCGCTCCGACTCCTCCTGCAGGTCCTGCACTTGCGAAGTGATTGCTAGGGCCTTCCCAACAAAGGGCCGCGCTTTTGGCAGATTGTGAGAGGCATCCAGGTGGCAACCACAAGCACCAACGGCAACAGCAGCAAGGCTAGCAAAGGTTTAACCGACCATCACTAGTGAACCTTCGCGCTGGCCGCAGGACACAAATACCAAGCACTCATGCTAACAGCGGAAAACGCAACAAACGGGACAAACAGTCAAACATATGATTTTATGTTGCAAACAACGAAACAGCATCCTGTGAGCTCTCTGATCTTAGTTTAACAACATAAATGGGACAATAATTGATAAACACCGACCGTTGGACAGAAATGAATCAACCAAACATTACATACTGCCTTCACCAGCAAAGAATGTCAAACCTACCAAGCCGCTGCTCAGAAAGTATTCCAGTTAAGACGTTTACGTTTCGTTGGTGGGAAGTGCAGTTTGCCACTGACCGGCGCTGGCTCCATGAGGGATGTCAACCCTGTCCAAGAAACACAGCTGAGAGCAACGTTGGGTCCAATTGAGGCGATGCAGCCCCAGTCAAAAGTTCCAACTGCGTGTCAAATGCAGCCCACTTTTGACCAACCGCAGCCAAGATGACCAAGCCACCCCATCCAAGAATCAATTGGCCGAAGAAGAAACTGAAGCTGGGTTGCTCTTGAATAGATTGAGCTAACGACAGCGTGGATTGAAGATCTTGTGTAAAGCAGAAGCAGATACGTAGTCAATAGATAGATAATACGAACATGTACCACATGCATATTGTAAACCAATACGTCGCATATGTCTACCATACATTGTATTGGAATACATGCATGCATGCACTCACACGCACATGGTGCGTCTCACATTCAGATCCTGTCCAATGTTCGTTTCTTTCGTTTGCAGAAACCCAAAACAAGGAAAATCTGAGACAGACCGGTATGCCCATCCACATGTATGCACTTTGTTTTGTGTACAACTATACAAAATCTAGAAAAACTAGAGGGAGAGAGAGAGAGAGAAAACGCTACAAACACAAAATATGCCCATCTGCATGTGCAATATGTATGTATGTATGTATGTATATACATCTCTATATATATATGTATATATATATATAGTATTACATATATATATATATAGTCGTTTTATACTCTGCAGCCCCATGTTTCGGGTCTCGGGCCTTGAGCTGATGCTCGTGCTGCACCACGGCGCGGCGCAGGGTCTGACAAAGCTCCTGCCAGGCGTCCCGGTGGCTGGTGAGCCGCTGGATGCTGGCCTCGTGGAATTCAACGGATCGCAAACGGGATGTCAAAATGGAGGGGAGTCTTGCAAATGGCCATGGGTCAAAATGAAACCTCCAGGGGTCAACAGGTTTTAGACGTTGTTTCCATTTCCCGGGGTTCCATTTTGGGCGCATTTGACCCACATTTAAATGGTGGTTTTCCTTTGAGTGTCCCTCGAACCATTGGCGAAAAGGGTACCCTCAAACACATACCACACACACGCAATTGCTACAATTCACGAAAGAACAAACAATTCCAGATCTCTGCGCAAAAGGTTCATGATCCCAATTCACAGGCCAGAAACAAGAAATCCCCAAGACTCCTTCATGGGCGAGCTCGTAGAAAAGGATGGATCGGTCCCACGGGGAAGGGCGGGGAATATGACGAAGGTGCACAAGTGTTCGGCTGTCTCAGGTGGCCCTGGCCTAAAATGAGTCAGTTTCCAAGGCACAGGCAACGGCTGTCGAAACGACTGGGTAAGAAAAGGACTGTGTAACACCCAACAAGGGTACATTGAAGAATTCCGAATGGTCCGGACAGGGAAGAAGAGTAGGAAGGAAAGCTAGGTAGTCACATCTATCGATCAAACCTTGTTCTCAAAGGCTCCAGCTTCAAGAGAAAGGGAGTAGAAGCTACAGCGGAACAACTTGCATTTTTGCAATCGAGAAAATACATGACCCTAGCCTTTCGTGCCACTGGTCATTGGTCCTTGCAACCATGCGTCACTCAATGACCTTGTTTTCGCGGTCAGCCATTTTGATGTGGCGACAACCAAACAACCCCATTGCACGGGATCACAGTCTCTGCCCCAAACATAGACACTGCCAGCCTCCAACTCCGGCTTTTGCTCGCAGCACCACGCGTCCTTCAGCTGGCTGAGATCAAGTGTCAACATGTCGGGTGAAAACAACGCGCTCATATTTCACCGCGAATCATGAATATCTGCAAACTTCGGAAGCATGCTCCACCGAAAAAATGATTGTTGCTGGCTGCAAAAGGATTGCCGAAACAGGGTAAGGTTGGTTTTCGCGACATGTCCCGACCACGAATGCAACATCATACTGACATCTGGACAGCTGTCACCATGTTGGATGCAAACTCCAAACAAAGAGAGGTAGGGAGCATGTTTGCCTCCCAAATGGGCATGTGGGCCACCAACACTGTTGCAATCACGGCCACTCAGCCGTGCTACATGTGTTTGTCGTTGCAAATTGTTCCGAATGGTTTGAAGGGATCTTCACAAGCATGGTGTCCGCGTTAGCTCTTTTTGGCTTGGCTGTCAAACTCGAGCAGTCATAGGAATTGAGAACTTGGAGGAATTTCGGGAAAGGGCTCTTGCTTCAGCTCTTCACGTCGAGCCTGTCTAACGGGTTTGCCAGCAGAAAGAAAACAGTGGGTTCCCTAAATAACTTGGAGAGGAACATGCATCTAATTCGCACTTCTGCTTAGCTCGCAGGATCCAAATAACTGCATGAGGGGTTGTCCGGTCAATGAATGCAAACAATAGTGTCCAATCTATAGGGCCCCTATGTCCCTCATATTCCGATTGTGGAATTCACCCCAAGAAATCATTTCCATACTCCTGCTCTTTGTGCCCGGGTGGATCTTGAGGGGGGTTCGTGAGCTTGAGGCAAAGGACATGGACGAACAATCCAAAGAACTGGTTTCTGTTTAGCAGAACGAAGAAGGGCGAGCTTGGACAAGCTGGCAAGCGCATGATCGATTGAACCCACTGGAGATGGACTACACGCACAAATAAGCAAACATCGAGATAAACGCCGCATACTTGGGCAAACCGCACTCCCCGCGGCGTGCCTGCTCCGAGACCTCTTTAGCGGCAGCCTCTTGCTTGAAGGTCTCGCACTTCAGGACTTCCTGCACAACCCCGGACTCCAACACTTTACCGTTCCTGTCCAACACCATCAGCAGCAATGGAAGCTGTGAAATGCGAGCTGGACGAGATACCTAGTGTTTACCGTCAAATCTGCCAGCACCAATGCATAGCTGCTCGGTGACTTCCCACCACCCATAGATGCTTCTTGTGCAACAAAGCAATTGCCATTGATCGTGCGCGTTCAATGACGCTTATCTCAGACCTGCGGCTGAGACATCCGCGCATTGTGCGCGTTTGGTGACCAAAGACTATGTTTCTGAGTCACTTTAACATCATCGGCATCGGCATCAGAAGAAGCATCTCCAATGAAAATACAATGGCTTGCTATTCTTCACAACTACCTCATCTGACAAGAACCTTTGGTTGTCCTTCACTATATCGGAAGCCTTTCAGATCTTTGCAAGGATGGGGCCAGTTGGTACTCTGCGCTGCAAGCAATGCTCGCGGACTTCCAGTTGAGTTGCTATGAAAGGTTCTTCTGTGATAGGAGGTGTGGCCTAAAACATGGGCGTTCGTTCCTCATTGTGGGGGGCAACAAATGAAGGCAGCTACAAGTCAATAGTAACAGCTCTAACAAACAAGCTAAACATCAAGTTTCCCACATTGCTAGCGTTCCCCCATAGGCCAGACCATCACATTGCTAGCGTTACCCCATAGGCCAGACGGCATAGTTGCTCAAAACGAGCAAGTGTCCCCACCATCCCCCCGCCCCTCCAAACATTTGGGGTGCAGCTGCCTCATCGTTTCAATGTCCAGCACCCCCATGTTGAGAACCCCAAGTCTCCCATGCAGCACCCTGAGCCCTGCCTCCTCCAAACCATGCCGCCTCTTGCGGAGCAGCTCGACCTGGCAGTTTCCCCAGCTCTTCCGACTGCTCGCCTAAAAATACCCGGCGCTATAAGCCGATGACGTTAAAGGGCACTCAGCGCCCAGCCTGGAGTTGCAGGTCGGCCACCTTCTGCCTGGAGGCTTCAACCACCTCTCGTGCTGCCTCTTGGGCATTCAAGATCTGGCTCTTCTCCTGCACAGGGAATATCATATTATTGCACGCACATATATGTATGTATGTATGTATGTATATATGTATGTATGTCTGTATGCACATCCACAAGCTCTTGCATCGCATCCTCTGGCCCCCTTCCGATGTGTCTCCTTCTGCATGGCCCGCCGGGCGTTCTGCAGCGCCTGCCGCTCCGAGGGGCTCATCGGGGACTTGCCCGAGACCTTCTGCCCGAAGGCCAGGTGCCCTGCGCGCCGGGGGAACTTCCGCCGCGGTCGAACACGTCAGATGAAACAAGAATACAAAACCTGTCTATACATATATATATATAATATATATATATATGGTATATAGAGATGTGTGAGAGGGGATGATAGTGAGGATCATGGTTTGGACGAGGAGAAAGAGGAGGGGGAGAAAGAGGAGAAAAACGGAGAAGGAGGTGATGATGACCAAGCGACTACATGCTATGATCAGAATTTAGGGAATTGCGACACCTGGGCATGGCTCCCTGGCTGTTTCAAATCCAGATTGATGGGGTGATGGTCTTCTGCTTACCCCAAGGGAACAGGTGTTTGGAACATGGGAAATGTGGGAAAGCGGTACGATGGTGTGATGACTATGCCTCTGTTCAAGAAATATATCAAGTTTTGCGCATGATTAAACCTGAGCCGCAGAGGGCTGATGTGTGCAGATGTGGTGCCGGCAGAAGCATCATGCTACAATTGAGTCATGGTGTGCTTCATGGATGTTGACTGCAACATCCCACAAGTCCATCCGGGCAGGACTATGCTAGCAAACGGAAATGCAAGAACGAAGCAACACTTGGAAATTCGCAGAGATGAGATGCTTGAGAGGTTTGAGGGCCATTGGAATTGCCTGTCTGGTCACGTCTCATGCTGACACGAGAGATGCTGACACAATGAAGACGCATAAGACGCAAGCGGAAACAAAACTGGAATGTCTTTGTGCCCTCCCTTGACCCAGCCAAATGGCGGCAGCTTTAGAATGAGAAGCGGTCAACCTTCGGCGCATGGCCTGCCACCCCCGGGCCCCGCCTGCATCGGGCTTTCGGGCCGGGCGAGCCATGGATTCGCCAAATCGCGGTGCAGATTCGAGGCTGAGCTTGACGAACGCTACAGTCAGCTCTGGGACAGCGCTTCCGCCAGCAAGTCCTACCGCTTAGAATGCGTGATAATCTGCAGCCAAATAATTGGACTTAACAAAAGGTGGTAATTAATGAGTGTCATGTTTTGTCCTAGCTCATTGTACCGCAAGACGAAATGGACACCTCGGAGTTCTTGTCCAAGCCAAACATGCCGTGGAAAGCTTCATCACTATTCACAGTATTTGGGCTAGCTACAACGAGCTCTTCTTTTCAATGTTGGTCGCAATGCACTTGGCTTTGCAAGTGAGACTTAAGAGCAAGAGCCAAGACAGAATGCGACGCACGTGAAATATCATGGCATATCATGGCATGCTCACGGTATCGAGTCGGTCTGCCTGGGTCCTGCGCTCTGCAAATTACAACACATTGCGGTTTGTATGACTTGCCGTCACAAGACTCTTCGAATGGCAGAACCTGACCTGAAGGTTTGGCCAGCCTCCGGACGCAACAGCTGGATGCCTTTGTCAAAGATTCAGCCGTTCCTAAGACCGGACAAAATCATAGCTTAAACTGCAAGTAAGCATTCACATAAAGAGCAGCTTGGACTCGACATGCGCACCCTTGCTGACTGACACTGATCAGCCTTTCATGCGTAAGCCACTGTCCCGAATCTTCCCAGTCCAAGAACACACACACACACAAACCAATGGAAAGTCAATGATCTCGTCGCACTCGGCATCTGATTTGTCAAGGAGGGCGTTCGAATCACCCCCCCCCCCCCCGCTTCGTATGTTGACTCTCGTGCGCCCCCGCGCAAGTTTTCGACCCCTTCGCCCGTGGAGCCATCCGCCTGCAGCGCGCTCGCGGGCACGGGATACGACAAACAAAGCTCGTTTCGGAGATGTAGAATGCAGCTGAAGTTTCAATAGCACGTTTCAGAACATTCCAAGTACCCTTGCATGGTCAGACATATGTTTTCGATTGGTGAAATCCGACATTTAACTTCAGCCAAGCTTTATACGTGAGAAGAAGTGGATCTGCAATGGTCTGCAGTCAGTGCTGGACGTGGACGACGAAGGTCATGATTTCGCAACGACGGGCTGACAAGCCACGGTCCCCCTGCAAGTGTGAACCAAATCCGATGAAGGCTGTGGAATGATTCGCATTTTCCGCACATTGCTTGACATTCGAACCTAGCTTTCACAAGTGAAGCTCTCCGATTCAATCGGCTTCCTTTATTTGTGCCTGCGCCCCCCCCCGTCTGTTGGTTCAAAGACCATTTCGAGCTGGCGTGGCTTCAAGCTCTGGGACAGGTCAATGAGCATCGGCTTTAATACCTTGGCATGTTCCATGCCTTGCAGCTTCGGGAAGCGAAGCCGTCGCCGCAAGTCTCGCGCGTGCCTGACTATTTGGTCGAGACCGAATTGTCCCCGATCCTTGCGCAAAAGAGGACTTTGGTGTCTTGGTCAATGGCGAATTCCAAGAACCCGCTTGCATGTGATGCGCTGTTCGTTGTTGCCAGGTCAGCGGAAGCGGAGAGGGCTTTGAGATTTGGGCGCCGCCAAATCGCCTTCTGCAGCAGACCACTTGGCAATCACCTCCCACTTTTAGACCAAGTTCTTTGTCGTCGAAGCTACGCGCGTCACTGTGCCCGATGACGTCTCCAAGTTGCTTTCAGTTTCAGAGGCTTGAGCCATCAACAACGGACATGCAGGCTTCCGCCTGCGGATAGCTTCAGGCATTCTGCGGTACGCGAACAGCATCTTCCATGCCACATGGTCTTTGTCAATGCGCAGCCATGGCCTGCCGTGTCATCACTTCCATATTCTGGCAGGCAGGTGGCCCTTGCTGACTTGGTCTGCAATAGTCGCAGATGTTACTATAGCCGCTCGGCTGGGCCGCAGAACAAGTCCGTATGCCACCTGTGTTTGCGAAAATGTTGCTACCCAGAATCGCCAAAAACTCCGCCTTTCCCTAAGTTTGGTGCTCTTTCTTAAACGCTTAGCCACACATGAGGCTTCAACCATGAGTCCCAGCTTCTTGCGCACGCCTCTAAACATCTAAAGACGGCAAACATGTCTTCGTCGTTTCAGTCCACTCAACCAACGATTGATTCAACGTGGATACAGCGCATCAGGGTCATGGCGTCGTGACCGAAAGTCTCCATGTTGGCTGTGGTGCAAATCTGACGCCGAAAGAAAAACTAAGCACGGCTGCATGTATGGCCTGCAAATGTTGATGCAAGCTTATCAGTGCAAAAGTGCAGTACGCCTTGCCTGAGAACAATGCTGTAAAGATTACGGCATGCGGCATTCAGTCGCCAAAAAAGCGACAGCTACCCACATGTCTATGCTGTTTGAACACATGCTCATATCATGATGGAAACGCGGAAACACGCAATCGAGCCTGGAAACTCTGACAGAATGATACGCACAACAAAAGACACAGAGACAAGACAAATCAACAGCAACAAATACACCATTTTCTTTAAGTCAATGTGTAGTGCAATGCGCAGGAAAAATGAAAGCATCAGATAATGAACTGCACATACACCATTTACAATAGACAACACCATAAAGTTGATTTGGCAGTCTGGGCAGCAAAGGCTTTCCAACCCCATAACCCCGGCAACCCATGTGATGGCGTGGGACCAAGCAAGAGAAGAAGTCAATGGATCAACACGACGAAACAGTTTGGCTTCCCATGTCGTCATGCTGCAGTTGACATATGGCACAGCTGTATTCATGCGCGTCAGAAATAACATAATTACATATTATATTTGTTCGTTGGGAAACAAGCATTACCTTTGTGACTGCCCATTGCATCTTCGCAACATCGCCACGTACTGCAAATTGTGGTCGCACCATCGTTCTAGCAAGCTTCGAGAATGCTGTGCAGCATCACAATTATAGCTCTTCCTTCCACCAACATAGAATCTGTCGTCCGGAGGATACCTGGAAAATATGTTTCCTCTTGAAGGGACCCCCAGGTACCGCGTTAGCGGATGGGAGGGAATCCGCAAAAACAAACAAATGTGTCTCATAGTCTAATCTTGGAACCAAACCGGTCACATGATGAACTTGGTGCCAAGGATTGATGCATGCTGTGCTCGGCAAGGTAGAAAGACAAAATCATAAAAACGGGGTCCCTACCGCATATGCATGAGAAGCAGGGTAGCCCGGGTTGCGCAAGGCAGTGCCAGGTGCCTCTTGGCAAAAGGCAGTGAACGCTGCGAGGAGCGCTATCACGGCCACTGACACCAAGACCTGCAGTTCAAAAAAGCTGCTCTAATCTTCCAAATAGTGGCTCCATATGCTTCCGGACGGGCAGCTTAAAGGAAAACGCTGAGAAACCTATGATTGGAGAAGTCCCCCATTCCAGCCATCAGAATGAGTGAACAGGAGCTCCAGTTTGCACTGGGGCCATTTCCTGGCATTTGCAGCAACAAAGAACTGCGTGAAGTGTGGCTGCCGGTTGCCCATTCAACCCGTTTCGTTCCTCGGAAAGGAACAAAGGGAGGTGCCAATCCTGTCTTCTTTGCTTCGTTATTTCCGGCCGGGCTTGCCAAACCTTCCCGTCCTTTCCCTTGCTTTGCGTTTGCCTTTCTTGCGTCGGCGGCCCCCCGGCCGGCCGCACTTTTTGGCTTTCCTTCCTTCTAGCCGCAAAGGCTTCAAACAAACACCGATAAATAGAGGCTGGCAAACAAAAGGCAAACATGCCTCAACGAGCCAGCAATCGAGTTTCTGGAGAAGCGACATTTCTTGGTGATTAAATGACTCAGCCCAACCCACTCGCAGCATGAAGGTTTATCAAAGAACTCCCCCAAGTAGTAAAATGAACATCGTGCGCCTAGCAGTCAACTGTGTGTGCTAAGCGGAGTATCCGTTACTTGAGGCAAAAGGAAAAGGCCACTCCGACTAAACTTGATACGGCAAAGCATCAACAACACATGCTTCAGCGACCAATCCGTCCATCTGAAACAGCCTGGACCTTGAGCGATCTGACTGACTGACACCACACACCTCGGTACTGACTGATAGCCTCAGACCACACTTTGTAAACCATAAAATGCCATAAACAGGCAGTTTCAATTGAGGTGTTCTAGGATCAGAAGCGAATCGCGCAGCAGCAGAAACATGCAACAGCAACAAGAACAATACCAATGAATTGTGCCAAAGACAACCTTAAAAACAAAACAAAAACGTGCGTCGTGTGTTCTCAGTGAGCCATAACGCAGCTCTGGTTGGTTGCTGCTTGCTCAACGCTGGCAGCTCTCTGCCGAGGGGTCAACAATTCAAAAAACAAGTCATGTTAATCTTCTGGAACGCCTGCACAAAATCGCACCTCGCATGGTGACCAAACATTTTGGAAGCCACCAAAACCAAAAGGCACCTCTGGCCGGTCCATGCGCTCTTCGACGGTCAGCAAAGTGCCCCACCTGAATGGCAGCTCGGACGATAGGCTTTGCTTTCAGTGGGATCTCCGGTGGGCTGTACAGTTATGCATATGTAACCCCAGGATGAGTCTTTTTTATGTTTATTTCAATGTGCATGTGTGCGCGTGTAGAAATAGTACTATAAGAGTTGTCTACCGCCACTGGCAACATTAGTATAAAGGCAAAATCGGTCATAGTGTGTGTACTAGTACATAGGAATGGTATCGTTGAAGAGTAAGTAACAACAAATGTGTATATAAAGTATAACGCCAACAATAGTAACGTACATTCAGGGCAAGATTCTATGATGGAAGGAGTGGTTATGGTGATATCTTGAGTTCCCCTGCCCTCGAATGAGCATCACGAACAGGCGCCCAAACAAACCAACCACCAGCCAACAACCGACAACCACTGCAACCACAACAGCCACCGACCACCAACCAACAGCCAACAACCCAAGAAAAATAAGCATAAACAACAAGCGCAACACAAAACAATACACACCAACAACCACAACACCACCACCAACAACCACAGCTACAACAGCAACCGCAGCAGCGCCAACAAAAAACATAACATGAACAACACAAACAACAACCAACAACCAACAAAACATGTCATAACCAACAACCAGCAACCCAAACACTGGAGAACGGACACCAAACAACCAACCAACAACAAACCGCCACAGCAACAACAACAACAACAGCAACAGCAACCCTGTTGGTGCCAGTCAAGTGAGCATCGCTGGCACCCCCTGCTGCAAATACTGGCTGCTTACACGAACACGCGCACGCACACGCACACGCACGCGTAGACGCACGCGCACGCGAGCACACACACACACACATGTACAAACACACACACACACACAGACACACACACAGACACACACACACACAGACACACACACACACACACAGACACGCGCACAAACATACAACCACACACACACACACTGCCACACACACAAACACAACACAACACAACACAACAAAACACAACACAACAAAACGCAACACAAAACCACACAACACAACAAAACACAACAAAACACAACAACACACAACATAACAGAACAACACACAACACACACAAGTGCGCAAGTATCGAGTTGGCTCCATGTTGGCCACACTCTGCTGACAGGCCGCGGCCAGGGAGCGGTGGAGTTGGTGGTGTTGGCCTCTCATCGGAGATGAGCGGATGGTACAGTACGAGTGGTATGCTGCAGTGGGAGGTAAACTGGAAAACCATCTTTAAATGGACCTTCCGTCGAGATCCTCAACATGGCGGAGCCCACCTATCCAGACTTAAAGGACAACGAACATGAGACCCACAATTCGGGGTGGCTCGACTCGTTCTTCCGGCCGGGTACTATCTCACTGGGCAACCGGTCCTGGACCCAAATGGGTTCTAGGACCAGTTTGAGAGGTTTCATCTGATGTGCAGCCTCGTAGCCTTTCTGCAAACAAATCTGTCCGGAACACGAGGTAGACTTGCCACACCCATACGTGTCATACTTGTCTTACGTACTCATTTGATGGGGGGTATGCAAACATGCTTTCTGCTGGCAAGGTGTGTCGTCCCAATGCTTCCGGGTGCCAAGCATGATTCAAGCACATGCGAGCCCGCTCTAAAGACCTGCAGCAGCCGCACAGCGGAGCAACACAAACACATCCCAGGAACTCAACCCCCCAATACACGCGTCCTCTGGAAAACAACTGAGGCAAAGTTGCTTTTTACAAGCAAACTGAAGTAACCTGCTGGCAAGCAACGCCAGCTGCCTTTGTTTCATCCAGCTGTTTGCGACTTGCTACATGGTTTAACAGTCGCAACGGCTATCTGTATGCTCTCAAAAAGCATCCAAAAGCATAGTTGCTGGAATGGCATGGCTTGGTTCCTCTACGGCCACGGAGCGGCTCAAGTCAAAATGATGGAGCAAGGGCACAATCGTAATTCCTCTTGTCGAAAACCCCACTGGTACCAACGGTGGATGCAAAGTGGGTGAACCTCAAACCCGTGGCCAGTCATCAAAAAGGCAAAAAGGCAAAAAGATCACACCCACTGGCGGCAGAAAGTCGCCCGTTGGTGAGTTTTGCGGTTCGGCCACAGCAAAAACTGCTGCGAACCATACTTCTCTCAGCCCAGCTTTGGCAACGCTCTCTTGGTGCCACTTCCTGGAGGCTTGCGACGCTGTGGACAAAATGATCCTTTTGGTTACCCCTCTGAAGTTGGCGCACATGAACAGACTACGAAAAGGGGCCCCTGTTTTCCACCCTCATTCCACATGTCTGGCCTCCAAGCCCAAAGCACACAGCTTTGTCTCACCGAAAGGGTCGTGCACCTGATGCAGCGCATGTTCTGGCAACAAAGACTTCAGGGACAAGCCACAAAACCAACAGCAAATCCATGCAGCGAATGTTTTGAGGTCTCCAAAGGCACACATGTTCACGGCTTAGCAGGCATCAGCAAATATTGGAAAGCCAATCTTCACAGATTTGTAGTTACTTTCGGCACCAATAAGCCCACAAGATCCGCTTAGCCCCCAGTGGTTTGCATGATCTTCGTCCTTGGCAACGGATCGCCGTCCTGCCCGCAAAATTAGTATCAAACCAGCACACAACAATTGCTATACTTTCTGGCTCACTGAGGGCAAAAAACTGCGGCCTCTACACCCAACGTGAATTGAATGGGCACAGTGCTCAAAAAGTCAGCAAGCTGCTTGGGGCTCTTGGTGCAGTCGCCTGCGCGATGGAATGCTTGTGCCCGCCTGAGGAGGGATCGCCAAAGGCAGGTAGCAGTAGTTCAGGAATGGCGGAGCCAGGGACAGCGAGTAGGTCGCGTGCCTGGGATTGAAAAGGCTGAAGTGCCCGACATGTTCAGCAAGTTCCGCCACAATCCTGACAAACGCATCTGATCGTGACATGGTTTGCAGGACAGTGCCAGGTCAAATAATAAAAGCGATCAACAGTGGACCAGGCCAAGCAGCAAACAGGGCCAAACACACCCGCAAGTCCAAGGCGCTCTGTGTGGAGGAAGCTGTGCACTTGCAAGCGCCAGTTCCAGAGCAAGGCCTCCCTCGCAAAGGTGAACTGTTTCTTGATCCTGCCAGTTTAGTCCCATCGCAAAAAAATGTGAGAAGATGCCATGTTCAGGATCTACCTCATCCACGAAACAGGCGGTTTCATTGACCCAAGCAGTTCTGCACGCACATAAAATGCCGTGAACGAATTCTTCATTGTTGCTCGGCAGGCCATAGAAGGTTGAATGACCTCTTGAAATGGGCCCGCAGCTTGTGACGGTAATCAATCCAACAAGGCAGCTTTACATGCCACAGTAAACATGTGTACAGTGCAGTGGCTATATGCATTTGACATAACAAATGGCACCATGGAACCGGTAAATCATTACAAGCAAGCTAAAAGCAGTGCCATCTATGTTCAACCCCAGCATGCCTGTCTTCTTGCTAGAGGGCCTAGAAGGGCCCCTCATGGGGTGTGGGTTTTTCCACATCGGGATTTTCTGGGTTCTTGTCTTCTTTTGACGGCTTGTTTAACAGAGCGAGCGATGGCTCAGCGGGAACTCAAACAGCTCCTGGCCAGCGACAGCTCCAGCTGGCGCAAGTACCGCTGCCAGCGCCGCAGCATTTGAGGCGACTGCTCCTGCTTCTGCGCCTTCCACGCGTACCTGCGGACATGGGCAAAGCAATGGTCGGAATTTGTGACGGTGACTGCCGTGACCCTGTGCCAAGCATTGTGACAATACATCCAGCACTACCTGTTGTCTACTACACAAGGTATATACATATAACAAATATATATATATATATATGTATAATATATATATATATATGTATGTTTGTTCTGTGTTATAATCATATATATATATATATATCTACATATATCACAATTACAAACACCTAATATGTTCACATGTATCAGCTAGGCACATGATGATGTGGTCTCGGAAGACGTGGCTCTCCGGCTGAAGATGGGCGCCGTTCTCGTAGAGAAACCAAAGGCCATCAGTAACCTGAGATTGACAAGAACGGGACCTGGATATGAAAACGGAATGAAGTGAAAGACGAAAGACCTGCAATCCCCACATTGCACCAGAATTGCATCATACTAAATCACTAAGAAGTGGGCAGGTAGATTGCGTATCAGAATGCTTTGCCTTTGCAAAGCCGTGCAACTACCCGTGCAAGTTGAGGTCGGAATCAAGCACGTCTGCATCGCAGGAGCATGCACTGTTGACCTAGTCCTGGTGCGGCAAGTGGAGCTTGACTCAGCGTGAAATATCCGGAGTAGCCAACTAAGAAAATGGACCAAAGCCATAAGGGTCAAGCCTCAAAACAACGTGTTTGCATGAGGGCTGCTGGCTCGGGGACAACTTGACATTCGGCCACCAACTAAACAAAGACTTGTGCCTCTCGTGTTGCCAAGTACTTCGCATGTGCTTCCGGCTGCTGCCTAGACTACGAACCTAGTTGTCCATTAACTGTTGTATTTCTGGCTAAAGCCCATGTGAGCCAAGTCTAAATGGCTAACTATCAATACTCAAGATCCTCTCAAATGGTCGCAGCAATGTCTGCTCACAAAGTGGCCAGGGATAGGCTTGACCGGCATCAAATCCTCTCATTGGCCACGGAGAGTGTCATACTCACACGTTCCGGGGTGCCATCTCGTGTTAAGTGCAGAAGCACGTTCAAAGTGTGGCTCATGCTGTTCAGAAATGCCATCGCGTCTATTTCCTCAAGGAGCAAAGTCGTGGCACATGTCCGAGCGCACCAGAACGGGCTTGTTGGGATTTGACACGTCTGCCACCTGCGGCTCAAACCGCGGCCATAATCTTTCCCAAATGAGGTGAACATTTGGGCATTTGGATGTGCTTTTCAGGGAACCTTTTTGAGTGGCTTTAAAGGGAAACCAAAGGGAAAGCCACAATTTTCGGGGGTCCCCCATGTATTTTCACACACGCACACGCACACACGCACACACGCGCACAAGCGCACAATTAAGCGCACACGCGCACACGCGCACACGCGCACACGCGCACACGCGCACACGCGCACACACGCACACACACACACGCGCACACACACGCACACACGCATACACGCACACACACGCACACACACGCACACACACGCACACACACGCACACACACGCACACACACACACGCGCACACACACGCACACACACGCACACACACGCACACACACACGCGAACACACACACGCACACACACGCACACACACGCACACCCACACACACACACACACACACACGCACGCACGCACGCACGCACGCACGCACGCACGCACGCACGCACGCACGCACGCACGCACGCACGCACGCACGCACGCACGCACGCACGCACGCACGCACGCACACACGCACGCACGCACGCACGCACGCACGCACGCACGCACGCACCCACACACACACACACACGCACACACACACACACATCCGTGTCGCAGCTATCGACTTGTGCTTTGAACTTGCAGTCTGAGAGTCAGCTCTCGAGTCGACGCACGAACAGGTCACTCGGATTGTCTACCAACCATGGCCTCTGGTTTGGAAAGCACCGGCCGAGTCAACCCGTTGTTAAGTCCCAAACACTGGCCCCACAGCAGGGACAAGCCCTTTCTCAAGCTGACGACTGACGTTGCCGGACTTGAAAATGATATTATCAAATGCACAGTACTCCGCTACTGTGAAGCCCTGGAAGGTCATGTTGGAAGACAGACTACCTGTCGGGTTCCTGGTTGTTTCACAAGTCACCATTTGTTCCAATGCAAGAACCGTATCCCAACTCTACCCCAGCTAGGCCCAAAAAAACGAGCAGAGAGCATCGCCTCCAGAGGCTGGAATGAGTGGTGCGCGGGGGCAAAACTCTCGGCCACCCAGTCAGTGAACCTCAGGAAGCAAGCGGAGGGTCCATCAATCATGAAATTGTAGGATACGCCAAAAGCGAGCTACACAAAAACAACAAGTGCGTGGCACCGGTCCAAGTTTCGTGAACAAACAGGTTGTTGCTAGCAGTGTATTGTCACACTCTGGGCACTCTGGGTGTGGACAAGCTCTGACGCTGGCAAGGCCCATCTGCGATTGGAATCAATTGACCCTGGCCGACTGAACTGGTCCATGCAGCGATTCCTTGGCTCCATAGCTGCCCGTTTGATCTGGGTAACAGCTCGGAAGAGGGTTGCTTCGGGCAAAAGAGTGCGAGGGTAACCGTAAAAAGCAACGCCCCGCAAGAAATATAGAGACAAAGTTGTCAACATGTCCTCTTTGAAGATTTATCCCACTCAACACTTGTCAATCATTTAGCTAGACACTCAACCGACTCATGGCGAATCTGACGCGGACGCTGGGGCCGGAGCTTCATAAAGATTCTGCCGTTCAGCGACCCCAGCAGCACGAAGCGCTCGTAGTTGGAAGGCCAGCGAAGGTCCAGCTGTGTACTGGCAAGCCCCCGTGTTTCTTTTACGAACCGAGAGAGGCAAACTTTGGCCCGAACAGGTCCCAACGCCCCAAAATATTGTTATCGTCGTGACTGGCTGCTTCTGATAGATTGACATGCAGCATAGAGGCAAGGTAATCTACAAAAAAAGCAAAGTGATGCAACCATCCTGGCTCGCGACCACTAGCAAGGGGTGTTTGCTTCAAACGTCCTAATCTTGCCTGGTGGATCATAGTTTTGCGCACGCATGGATAGCCTGCTGTTTGTACGATGTTAGCAAGAACCAAATCTGACCAAGCTGAAGGCGAGTTGAAACAGTTCGCGAAGGGCTGTGCGCAAAGGACATGGCCGAAACAGTTCGCCTGCTCTGGTCCCTCCCCGCCTGGCTTGGTCGTGCCAAAGCAGCTCATAGTCACCCAGGAAGATCTTGGGAAGCCACCCGGAAGAAGCTTGGGATGGTTTACAGTCTGACCGCACGCCTTTGCAAGCCCCTCAGTAGCATTATCCTATGCGAAGAATCTTCTAAAGATCTCAAGCCACAAGAAGGCGATCTACGCCGGAATTGGAATCTCAGCCACTAGCGCCTAGCACAACACATATTGACAAGCCAGCTACACACACACATCATTGGCCACCAAAGCAATATTGCCTGAATCTGGACTGGTGCATGCAGCGTGTGTGTGTGTGGTGTGTGTGTGTGTGTGTGTGTGTGGTGTGTGTGTGTGTGGTGTGTGTGTGTGTGTGTGGTGTGTGTGTGTGGTGTGTGTGTGTGGTGTGTTGTGTGTCGTGTGTGTGTGTGTGGTGTGTTGTGTGTGTGTGTGGTGTGTGTGTGTGGTGTGTGTGTGTGTTGTGTGTGTGTGTGTTGTGTGTTTGTGTGTTGTGTGTGTGTGTTGTGTGTGTGTGTTGTGTGTGTGTGTTGTGTGTGTGTTGTGTGTGTGTTGTGTGCGTGTGTGTTGTGTGTGTGTGTTGTGTTGTGTTGTGTTGTGCTGTGCTGTGCTGTGCTGTGTTGTGTTGTGTTGTTTTGTGTTGTTGTGTTGTGTTGTGTTGTGTTGTGTGTGTGTGTGTCTGTGTCTGTGTGTTCATTCCTGTAAGTGGCGTGTTGATGCTGGTCAAAGTAGGCAGGCATGCATTAAGCAGGAAAGCCGCCCTCCAGGAAACGCCTGCCTTGCCGTATATCAATGCTCGTCAGTGTCAGTTCTGTGCGGGCATCCAAACATAATAAAATGCTCAAAGATCATCAATGAACACCTATCACTGCCTCCCATCAACCGAATTAAACTTTGCCACGTTTCTCATTTGAGCTAGAGCTAGAGCAAACCATGCGTCAGGCAGACTTGTCTCCGTTTGGCAACAATGACGAGATCAACGTGTTGAAGTGAACATCCGACAGAAAGTACTAGCTGCAACACATGGCCAAACACCAGAGCAATTCTGTCGAGCTGTTGGTGATTTTGCTTCATCTAAGTAACAGTGGCAGTTGCCGTTCCCCAGCAATCGGATTATTTTGCGAAAAGCACTCACAATGAACATGTCAAACCCAAATGCCTGGTTCGAATTTATGCTGCTTGCCTGCGGTTTGGTGACCATCACACGGCATTCAAACGTGCCCTCCTTGCTTAGCGAGCATCGACTTGGACTCAACCCTGATCCAAAACATCAGCCAATTGCCCATCGATGGGCGTTGGGTGTCTGCCCTGGGATTTCAAGCCAAGCGCACCTCTCAATACTTGAAAGGAGGAAGACAAGCTGGCCCTATCTGTCGCGAAGTCTCAAGCTTGCAAACTTTGAGCTGCAAAGCCACAGAGCGTATCCCCTAGCTGAACTGGCCACGTACGCTGGAAGCAACTTTGAGCAACACGTTCAGCCTCTTGTAGCATCGGGAAATTGGAAAGCTCCAAAACTGCGCAAGTCTCCGCACACAAACTCCCAAAGATACAAACGATGCCAAAGCTGGAAGCAGCAACTCTGCTTTAATGACTGAGGCTCGGAAAGGATGCTCGCTGCATCTATCCTGGGTCCGAGGCGCGAAAAGTAGGGAAGCTTCTGGAAAGCTTCGTCAAATTCTGCTAGTCGAGCAATGCTGAATATCAAACCTTAACGAATTGGTGAACTGCAGTGCAATGGTACAATCAAAAACCTTAAGATGATCAAAAACGCAAGGTGAAGCGAATCAAAGAAAATATTCTGATCACATCGGGAAGGTTATTCTTGAGACCTGGATAGTTGGTGTCAAGAACGCATACATTAACTACACTGCCCCTCCATAGTGTGGTCAAACCCTGGCAGCAACTTAATGGCACGGCCTGGTTCAGTGTACTTGCTGATGCTGAGTGCTGACCAATTGTGTTGGTTGAGCAGAGTGTCTCGCACGGTAATGGGTGTGTTGCAACGGAATATTGCACCACTCTGATAACATGCCGCTGGCAACTCTAACCAAAGGACTTGAGCTCTTGAATCAGCATGCACCAAGGAAATTGCTGCCAGCCAGCTGCACGAGACAAGACAAAAGCACTGCGACGTTGCGCATGGCTTCATGGCAGGCCATGTGCTTGAAGCGATTGCAGGGCTGAGACTGCAAGTAAGCCAGGTAAGCAGCTCTGGAACCCGGTTGAGTTTCAGCCTTACTAGATGCTCGCGTAACAGTCCATATGTAGGTCCTTGCCAATATCAAGTCATTCCCTAAAATAGTTTTTTGGGAGTCATTTGGGCAACAAACGATATTCAAATTGGCGACGGCCCCATGCAGCTCATGGTTCTCCGGCATCAGCATCTTCATCACAGAGGATGTATCCACTGGACTGTAGTCATAGAGACCTTGCCAAGCCCCACTTGGAGCGGCCCGATCCCCATGCTTCATGAGGTCATCGGCTCACTGACAGCTAGGTGCAAGCATGAACTGAGGGGTTGGATGGATGGGGAGAGAGGATGATTCAAGTGCTACCCTCACCGCAAGCATAACTTAAGCATAACCTCATGTGTTGTTGCGTTTGTATTGGTTTAGTTTGTTGCGCAAATGTGAAAAGCATAGAACTGATTGTTGTATTTCGGGACTCTAATTTGTGATGCCCTTGGGATTTGTATGTTCTGAATTAGGTATCCTTTCTCACTCTTGGGGGTACTGAATTCCGAGCATTTCTGTATTTCTCACCCTTGAACTAATCGGGCCCCAACATCACAGCGACGCACAACGCTCCAAACTCCAACCTTGAGGGCGCTAGGGCCCTTCCAAAGCTGCGAGAATAATTGGGGGGGGGGGGGGCATTTCTGAGAGTACCCTGTGTAGTTGGGTTTAAAAGGGAAACCAAAAATAAAGGCACCTCTAAGCCTCGAAATCGGCGCCACAGCTCAAGCAGTGATACCAGGGTCTGTACGCAAGGGATTGCCCGCGGCAGCGCATGGAACAACCTATGTCATTTAAGACTTCTTGGTTTGAACAATTCCCAGTATTGACGAGCTGATCCTCGGATAGGAGATGCCAACTACAAACATCTGTGTCTGACAAACAAAAACGGCAACTTGTTCCCTGCAAACATCTGAGCGAACCCCAACCATCAACGGCAAAACCAAGAACCAAGCCGTCCGCCTCCCAGGTCCCCGTCTGCCTTACCTTGCTGCCCCAACCCGCGGGCTTCGCATGGCTTCGCATGGCTTCGCGGTCGCTGAGCGCTGGGCACTTCTCACCGGTGTCCTTGTTCAGGAACGCGAGCCCGGAGTGGTAGGCGTTCCAGGGTGCGCGATCCAAAACCCACTGGGCCAGCAGGAACTCCCCATAGTAGACCTGACTCGAAAGAAAAAACAAAAACACAGTCGAGTATATCTAAGAACTGGAAAGGCCCAGTTTAACTGGGGTGGTTGGATTTGCTCTTTCTTGGGTGCTTCGGACATCATGGGTGTTCCTTGTACGGCAACGTGTTGAAAGTGCATTTCACCCTGCTGCTCAAACTTGCTGTTGCTTCTAACTAGGACGTACATTTGAACGCGTCCAAAAAGTAAGTGCCGCTGTCTGCTACATCAAAGGCCACGTTTGGCTTCTCTAACCCATGGCCCTGTCCGCGCACTCGCCTCGATCTTCGAGCTGTCCTCCCAGTGCAAAAGCTCCCGGGCACGGTACACATTCGACGCGCGGAGGCGCTCGTCTCGGTCGTCTCGCTCGTCTCCATCTACCTCCGCCTGCGTCGAACGCGTGGAAACTCTCTCACACTCACATGGAGTAGTTACACCAAGAATGGTGCCAATCCACCATGCGTAGCCATCAAGGAATCTGGAAAGCAGTACAATTATCAGAAACTCCACAAACAAAACGATAGTTTTTCTTATTGGGCTCTCTCATGTAGTTGTCGGAGAAGGTGCTTGTCATAGCTGTAGTTTAGATCTGTGCGCGTTGAAGGTGCCGCAACAAAGGCGTCGTTTGCTGATTGATGATACACATGGGTCAAGTATTCATGCAAATATTTATATGTGTACAATATATTATCACGTGCAAGT